CAACCTTCAGGCTTCATCCCGTCGCTGCGACATGTCACAACCCCCAGCCGGGCTTCCTGCGTAAGAATAATCCGACAGCGCATCGGGTTGTGTTTTTCCGATTGCATTGAAGACCCCCAATTCCACCGAAACGTGGTCGAATAAGCCCCCGATCGAGCACCACGAATAACTTAAACGGCGCGTGCGTGTATCAGCGAGATCCGGGGATGGATGCCTCGAGGCTCTGTTGCTAAACGTGGTGCCCAGCTCGCCTGACGCTTCCCCCCAGAATACGATCCCTTCCTCGTGTGAGTCCCTTCCTCGTAAGTGGTCGTAGATGCAAACTTTATCATAAATATCCTTTTCTACAGCTACGAGCAATGCGAAGCAGCACTATGCCTAGCAGCTAGGCTAACTCACTGCCCACGAGGCGTCCTCTCCCATCCCCCCGCAGCTCCTCAAGATTTCATATGCCAGCATGTGAGATGTTGAATGCAACCTCACCACTGGGCGCCCCTGCTAGCAGCGATTCTCAGCCCTGATGCACGATGGCGGAGCAAAAGCAAAGGAGGGGGTTTCGCACAGCGTGTTGGTGTGAAGCAGAAAAGGTAAAACAAGCCTTTTTTGCGTTCGCCCACCCTGCCACAGGGCTGAGCTCCGTCTGAAATCGCTTTTGGCCCTGGAGATGGATCTGCAGCCGTGTCGTCGGTGTTTCGTCCAGCCCACCTGACCTGCCAGAGAGTAGTGATTCATTCAATCAATTGTATCAATTAGAGCGCCTCCCGTCTCACCAGCCTCGGCTGCAGATCAGTGGGATCTGCCGCGAGAGGTGAGATAGAGATCTCAGTCCACTTTCAGCGGATGCACCTCGTCGGATCAAGAATGAAGAGGGTAAGCCCAGCCTCTTGCAACGGGTGAGGATCTGCTTGCGACGTGTGGGAGCTAGCCAAAAGGACTGTAGAGTACGAACTGATACCCCTACCCACCCATGTCCGGACTGTCTTCGCTTAGGCTGGAGTAGGGCTGGGAAGCTACCTTGCCGGCTTTGGCAGTCTGTGATGAGGCTGCATGGAGCTAAGATGCAAGCAGACGAGCTGAGGTAGAAAGTTCCCTCGGTATTAGTGCTGCGCTATCAGGTGGCATCGCATCATTGCCAGGCCGCGGCAAGTCCCCGTATCTGTGAGAAGGTTAAACGATGTGATGTGGTGCAAATGCCGAGAATAACGAAAGGCGGTGCATTGCTGCGCATCGTGCATGTCGGAATGCCTCCGCGCGACAAGCTGATGCAGTTGAGGCAGTTTAGGATAGGTACATGCATCGAGGCTGCCTAGCATCTGCCGATCATCCAGCGGGGTTGTCGCTCCTCCAGGAGGCATTTGTTGCAGACGACTGCTGCTAGACAAGCTTGGCCTTTGTTTCTGAAGCTGGATTGAATGGCATCATTCACGTCCATGAGAGAGAGTTTCCAACAACATGGATACTCTACGCTGGCAGGCCATCAACTCCACTACCACGCATTATAGGCACGTTTCAATAGCATTTCGTGGATCAGGCATTATCCCGATTGAGTAGTTTAGGCACGCTGGTCAGCCGGTGTTACAGAAGGCAAAGGAAGCTGCTGTTTTCGGCCATGGGATAATTTTACCCCAGGCTGGAACAAGAGCTGCATGAGAAGCCAATTGCCGTCCAGAGACCCAGACAATTCCCTGCTTTGTTTACAATTGCCTCCATCGGGACATTGAGATGCAACCAACAGGCTATGGCTCAGTCCGGTGGTTGGCCGAGACTAGAGGCAATATCGTGGCATGTAGAGCTGTTGGTTGGGACGAGTGTTGGTCAGACCAACCAAGCGGTGAAAGATGGGGTTTGGAAAATGGAAAAATGTCACGGCACCAGTCGTACACCTCCATGGCAAAAGCTTTTCAGCGAGCCTTTACATCATTTTCATCAAATGAATCCTGCATCTCTCTCATCGTGTGGGCCAGGATGGACTGGGACTAATCCTCCTGCGCGATGACACACCGCGGACTGGGTAGCTAGTCGCTGATCATTTCGATGGCAAAGCTACAGCAGTGAATAACCGCTCGCTTCGGCGACCTGAGCTCTAGGGCTAGGCCATCGGTCCGAAACGATCGAATCGCAGCTCGAGCGCTGAACGGCACGTGGGTGTTCGTTCTGATCAGCAACGGAAACGAGCATCAAACAGGTGCAGTAAGAGAGGGCAAGCTAAAGACGAAGCTCTCTGATGTCACGCCAGTTGAGGATTCCACCCTGCAGAAGATCATTGGCACGGTCACCACCGGTTCATCGACGGGGCTAGTGGATAGGGACTTTTTTAGATTGCATTCGATTTTTTGATATATTTATATACTCCAATGCATACATTTCCTTGGTCGCCTTGTTTTGGACTCAGCCGAGTGTGATGTGTGTCGGGGGAAAGGATTGGCGGTGGTCATCCAATTACATTGTACACAGAGGGGATAAGCAAGGCTGCCGAGCTTGGTCTCGTCTTGTCTCTTCGGGTATGAAAAGTGAAATGTGCCATCCTTTCCCCACCTGGCCGAATCATCTAGTTTGAGCTGTTGGTAGGAGAGCGAGCCAAGGCCTGGTGTGTAGTGGAGAGAGTCTTCATGCGCTGTTGGTCCTGGATGGCAAAGTCTCTGGGCAAACGCGAAACCGGGCCGTACTCAGGGCAATAATCTCCGCGTCCGCCAAAGATCCATCCTTTCTCCCACGTTTGGCACTGCCCAAGGTCGGCCGAAGGTGGTGGCCTGCAGTCGCGCGGCAAAGAGCTCCTTTTTGACTGCGAACTCAGTTCGGCGGCCCCGGGGAGAAAGAAGCCGACGCTACAGGTGTGTGCGGTAGGCTGTAGCAGTAGGAATGGAATGATACACAGACGTGCGCACAGGTACAGGAAGCACGCAGAGAATCCTCTTGTGCCTGGCGGCCATCCATCACGTTCTCTGCCACGTGAGGGAGGGTGCGGCCACCGTCAGATCGACCGCTTCCACCTGATACAGCGCCTCAATCGTGGGTTGACCTGGATTACATACAACTGACTGGCAGACACTTCTTTCTCACTGTGATGACCTGCGCCGCCATTGGTGGAGACTCGTCTGGCTCATCCATTCCTCAGGGTCGCATCAGGCTTGGCCCTCGCCCTGGCTATTTTTGGCCTCGACACATCGAGTGCGTCGAGACAAGACGATGACGCTGCTGCGACTAAAAAAGAAAAAGGAAAAGAGGCTGTTCTGCCGCAGTGGCACCAGGATGGAATAGTCATAGCGAGAGCAATAGTTTACCGCTGCATTGCCTAGTATAGCGATCCCGACACGATGAATCAATTCTCACACACACACACTCTTGGTGCTTGACCGCCGTCCAGCAGCTTATTTTAGCGACCTTTGCTGATCTGCTTCCCTCTGTCAGCAATTAGAGAGGTCTCGTGCGGTAGCTGTGCAATGAGAACACGCCTTTTGCTCGTCCAATACGACAGATGGCACCCGACTAACCCACTCTCACCCGCGATCGACAGATGCTGCCTTTTGTGATAAAGGGATTGGACAATTGAAGCCCTTTGGGGGTGAGTGCAAGCGGCTGACGATCCTGGTGCACCTCTTCGCAGTAATTAGCCCGGTTTGGTCGCTGGTATTTACCCTCCTTTCCCCAGGTCTCACCCTCGTCTGGGACCTGTAGCCAGCATCGCTCATGTTTCTAAATGTAGGTATTCTGTATGCCATCATTTTCCCATGGCGAAGCTGCATGTGGAGCCACTCTCGTACAGCGGCTGGAGTTGACTTCTTGCGCAACGGGTCTAGATAGAACGGACTTTCGTCCAGTAGCACCTAATATCGAATGCTAACCATGGGTAAGAATAGATGCTATGGAAGTGTGACCAGCGCCTCGTCGCATAACTCGCGGCAGCCGTAGCGCTGGAGGGAGGGAGGGGTAGTTTGAGACATACTCGGTCCCCTCCATAGCCGTGTTGCGTTCAAAGCATGTACAGCCATCAATCGTTTCTATTCCAGGTCACTGGCCGTATTACCTCGTATGAGAAAAGGTTTACACTTCCTTCTACGTAGCAGAACTGGTGTCGGGCTTTGTCAGGTCAGTCTCTCCGAGATGCCGTCCCTGGCTGCCATCACATCACTGCCAATCTGCCCCGTCCCGACTCCTCCGAGTGCTCGCTGCTGCGTGTGGCTCTGGCGGTGGCTCGAAACAGTGCAGATGGCCCGTGCTAATGGACATTGGAAATGAGTTGGAGAGGCGCGAGCGAGCGACGCGGAGCGACGTGCAGGCGTGCTATCCTCGCAAAGGGTTCCTGGCTTTGGACAGGGGCCTTGAGAAGAAGGGGGTGCAATGCCTCACTCTCTTCCACCTCCATGGACTTGATCAGTCCATGGAGAGGGGTGTGTTTCAACCGGCTGCTCGCACCTCACCCCTACTCTGGCCTGGGCGATCCTCCCCTCGCCCTGGCTACGCCCACACCTCGCACAGGGTCTTTGATTGGGATATCCACCTCAGTCTGACGGTCGACTCGAGCTCCCATCGTGGGCCTCGATCAAGAAGGTGGAGCGCGAGGGCCTTGATGCAGTGTGCAGCCCAGGCGCAATCCTTCAGAGCGGACCACCAGACGACCAACAGGGGTGCCCTTTTCATCGTAGTCGTAATTACGTACCGGGATCTGGCTCGCAACCATGGCCAGGTACTTAGATATCTAGGCGCTGCGGGCGGGAAGCTCCAAGATATAACATCTTGACGGCCCTCCCCCAGCTCCCCCGTACCTCTCGCTCGACCTAGGTGAAGGCGGAACCAAGCAGGCCATTCCTATTTCTTCATTTCTCTATATCATCGTCAGCAACAAGTCTGTTTCCTTTCTCCCATTCCCTTGTCGGTGCCCACTCCCCGGATTCAGGATTAATCCAGCAAGCAACAATCAATCACCACTGCTCAATTCATACCCGATCGCCCAGCATCTTCCCCGACCAGCGGCAATCAATCAATCACATCTCAGAGCAAAAATGTCGTTCACCACCGAGGTTTGGAACGCCAAGCCAAACACCATCGCGGCGGCAAAGAAGACGACAATGCCATCATCGGCGCTGCCCCGGAATGGCGAGCTGAGGGAGGAGGATGACTGGACCAAGGTCAAGGACCCCAAGGAGAAGAAGCGAATTCAGAACCGAGTGGCACAACGCACATACCGTACGTCCAGAGACGGCTCTCACTTGGGTACCGGACCATTGCTAACAATCCCCAACAGGTCACCGTATGAAGGCCAGACTGGGTGAGCTGCAGGCTCGACTCGAGAGCCACGAGGGTCGCCGGCCCAGCGACGGCACCCCCGAGCCTCTTCACACCCCGACTCACTTCACGCCCAAGACCGAAGCCCTCCGCATGGACAGTTCGCCCTCGCCTTCAATCATCGACCACAGCCACCAGCAGCCTCTCCCACAGCTGATGGGCCAGCCGAACCTGTACGAACAGCCCGTCGAGGACCCGGAGAACTCCATCTTCCCCCAGCACGCCATCGTCCACAGCCCCTCGACCTCGCAAGCCTCTCCCACAACCAACGGACTGCTGTCCCCTCCCGTACACCCCGACCAGTCTCAGCAGGGCCAGGATGCCCAAGGTGGCAAGTACTATGTGGACTGCATGCGATTCCAGTCACAGCTGGTCAACCGGCTCAACAACATCCCACAGGAGGCTTCCTTCCCTGGAGCCTACCCTCACACACCCCAAGTTCACAGTAAGAAGCCGGAACCTTATTCTCACTCAATTGCGAGGAGGCTAACAAGGGAAACCGCTCTAGACCAGATGAACCCTGAGCAGATGAACATGCCTTATGCTCCCGCACCCGCCGACGGCATGGACTTTGCCTTCGACCCCTCCGTCGAGATGTGGAAGACCGAGACGCCCATCAAGATCCAGCACGCTTCTCCCGACAGCGCCTACTACCAGACTCTCACCCCTCCGACCACCTCGACATCCACAATGGCTCCTCTGCCTACTCCCCCCATCCGCGTCCCCGCCAAGGAAGCTCCCCTCGACGAGCGATTCGAGTGCATCATGAACCAGGTCGAGGCCGCCGGATTCGACAACTTTGACCAGATGGCCACCGCCTACTACTCGCAGACCTTCAATGGCTCATCGCCCATTGCAGACGAGCAGCGCCAGAGCCGCGGCCGCCGCCTCCCGCAGGTCATCTCCGGTGTCTACGGCTCCAGTTCCCAGTGGAGCGACTGGGAGCGCAAGGGCTTCCAGGAGGAGATTCTCAAGACGGCCGAGTCCATGCTCACCGTGGAGGGAGGCGAGGCCGCCCGCCAGCACCTCGGCAACAACATCAACGCCCTGTCCGAGGCCATTGATGCCAACAACGGCGCCGCCTCATCCGAAGCTCTGCTCAACTTGAAGCGCGCCGTCCAGGAGCAGGCACCCAACACCTGGTCCATGTCGATGGCTATGGCCCGAGAGAACCGCTCCTCATGGCAGGCCGACCGCTCCAACACGGCGCTGGCCACCACCCTCCTTCTCAACTATGCCGGTCGCATGCCCAACGACCAGCTCCTCCGCCTGGTCGGTGCGTGCCTGTAGAGGATGGAGAAAGCAGGCAAGGCTAGCTGGCCTTGCTTTAATTTCTCTCTCTCCGCATGTCCTTTCTTTCTCTCATGTTTTAGCGACATCTGCAACTGGCCATGATGTTTTCCTTCAGACTTTCTTCTCTCAAGTCATTGATGATACCCCCAGAGAGTCTCCCCCTCCGACCAGTCGCGAGGTGCAAGGAGGTTGAGTAATTCACTTATAGAGCGCACTCCATCAAGGATCTATGGAGTGTAGGATCTGGCATTCTTTGAGCTGCCACCGGCGTCTGCTTTTCTTTCTTTCTTTTTTTCACACGGGATGGACGAGTTGAGTCTCATTTTCCCCACACTCATTTCAGCAAGCTGGATTTTATGCTATCTGATCATTTTTTGGGATTATTGGTTCATTCTTTTTTCTTCTACTTCTCACACTCTCATTCATCTTCCCCATTTTTTTTCATTGGCACTGCCTTTTCTCGTTATGAGGTGGCCAGCACGTGCCAAGTGTATGATCAGACGAATTTATATACGAGGCCACACGATTTTTGTACAAAGAAACCGGCGTTGATACAAAGCAAAGGGGCGGTTGGGACAAGGAACACACGGAGCAAAACGGCGATTTTGTCTTGAGACCACCAAAAAAGGGTTGCTGGTCATGTTTTTCGACCTGGTTATGTCGTTTTGATGCTTGGAGGGATATCTTTTGTTAGCTTTGGTATGATATACAGGGACTGTAGCAATTGAGTCCACCGCAGAACAATTTAAAAAATCACTTGAAATATACACTGCTACGATGCCAATGCCTGTGAGAGTGATTTGGGAGCCTTGAGGCCACATTACTCAATCCGCTCTGGGAGGAGAAGGATGAGGATGAGGAAGGAGGATGATGGCCTGGCTGAAAAGTGCGTCGGCAATGGGATGCGACCCTTGGATGAGGCGCATTGCTTGATCCTGTGCTCAGATATGGTGGAGCTGTGTTGCCGTCGGCTGCAGAGGTAATGTTTCAGCCAATTCCATCTTTGCTTTGCGTATTGCGTGTTGGCTCGAGGTGAATCAGACCCAAGACACGGCCAATATCGCAAGTAGGAGTTGTTCTCCCGGGCAGCCGGTCATGGATCTTGGGCATCCATCTCCTGGTAGATTGAGTTGTATCATCTGGCGTAGAGAGCAGTGGATTAAGAACAGTTAGTCAATTTATTGAATTACTCGTGACATTCATCTAATTCCTCCAGCCATTCATCTGGTGCCATCGTAGCAGTCTACAGAGATGCTCATCCGCCTGCTGCAATGGATCCATGTGCTTACTTACAGGCATGAAATGCGCTGTATTTACTGGCTGCTGCATAGAATAGGCGATGGATGTGCCGTACGTCATCAGCTTTAGCGATCACGTCCACCCGAGCTGAGATTGAGGTAAGACATCTCCGCCGGTTCAACACAATGGATTGATTTATTTCGCGTTGCGTTCTATTTTGATCTTTTACCCTTCTCCCCGTTCTTGTATTCCCAGTCTCTGCCTCCTCCGTCTCCCGCAGTCTTCCTCCGGTAGCGTGCCCGACCTCTTCGCACGCTTGAACCAGCATCTCAACCACAAGCTCGGCTCGTCAACAGCCTGCATCACGACCGCCATGTTTCCCGGAGGCCCGAACCCCTCTAAGATCCAGACCGCAACTGGAGGCTCTCTGGCGCCGCTCGTCCTAATCCACGACGGCGGCGGCACGACCTTCTCCTACTTCTTCCTGGGCAACCTCAACCGCGATGTCTGGGTCATCCACAACCCTCACTACTGGTCGGGCGAGAAGGTCGAGGGCGGCATCGACGCCATGGCCAAGAGCTACATTACCCTCATTCGCAACGCGGGCCTCCGTGGCAAGATTTTCCTTGGAGGTGCGTCGGCCATCTCTCTCAGTCCCAATGGCTTGGGGACACGGTTCCCCTCCATCCATGCAATGTCATCATGTCGTATCTGACCCGAGAGCACAGGCTGGTCGCTGGGCGGCTATCTCTCCCTCGCCATCGCACGTATGATCGCAGACGACCCGACAGCCCTCTTCAGCGTCCAGGGAATCGTCATAATCGACTCCCCGTTCCACGTCCCCTACGACCGCCTCAGCTCCCCAGTCATCGACCCCCCCATGAATGACCTGCCCAAGCTGATCCAGACCTGCTTCGCCCACTGCGACGACTACCTCAAGGACTGGGAGCCGCCCGCGTTCACGGCCCCGACAAACGGCGGCAAACCGCTCTCCATCGTGCTGGGCCCTCAGATATTCCATCTCCAGGTCAACCAGAGCCTGCACCAGCCCCTCACCGGCAGGTGGGAGCTGCACCAGAGCAAGCCGTTCGTGTTTAAGGACCCGAACCCGGCCAAGGCCATCTCGCCGCCGCCGACCGCCCTCATCCGGTGCACGGAAAGATCCATGGCGCCTCAGGGCGAGGAGGTTCTCTGCACCGTGGATCTGTACCGCAAGGAGGAGCTGCTGGGCTGGGGGGAGGGGCGGTATCCCGACTTCATCAAGATCGCCATGGATGTCGAGGCGGCGCATTTCGATATTTTCGATCGGGAGAATGACAAGCGGGTGAGTGAGCTGTCTTGTGTTTCTTTGTATTCCCTTGTTTGCGACATCACTTCACATCACATCAATTTTCAGGTCTATTTGGCGGTTTATGCGGCTAACATTTGGGATAACAGCTGGAAGTGGTAACAAGCAAGCTGGATCATGCCCTGCGGGCCTTTGACATGCTAAAGTGAATAGCAACATAACGAGGCGCGAGGCACGCAGGTCCAATTGATCGCCAACCGCAGGCTTGCACTCACATGGGGTCAAGCTTGATGGAAGTCATGCGAGCGGGAAGAGCGAGGATGGCACATGGGCCTCATCGATGGCGGGAGCATACTTTGTCACGGAATTGAAAAAGCGAACATAGATTCAATATAGAGATAGCTACTTTGATGGAACCGGCGGTCAAAAAATTCAATCAAATCCTCTACTTGCCCTTGTGGATTTCACCCAGCCCACGAGATGCCTCACCTCGACACTTGGCCGTACTAGCCAGGAGACACGGCCTGACTCACGTCGCTGTCCCAAGAGGGCGCCGCCTGAGTCTCCTTATTTGTCTCTAGGCGGGGGCTGTTCGACTCCTCTCGTATGCCCTTTCATGTGTCTCTGGAGGGCGCTGGCGTCGTTCCCTCGTATGCTCCGAGACTGCTAGCTCCATCCATCTGTTCCCAGAGGGCGCCGGTCAGCATTGCAGCTTCAGTGGCCCTGAGCATGGGGCTTATGCGGCCGTAGTGGCTCTCTAACCGGGGCTGGCACATCTCAAAGCTCCGCTTATGCTTCAACTGCCGATCAAGAGCTGCGACGGACATGAGATGTCGATGACGGCAGGTTGGCCGGGTAGATGTGATGGTTATAGAATTGTAGAGGCAGAAGACAGAGAAACGCACCGTATGTCTGCCGTGAATGGGAGAGACGACGAGGCCGGCGTCCGGACTGGCTCCGGCATTTTGACCTACTAGGTTCGGGGGCTTCGGTGCCGGAGGAGGCGAGCTCGACCGGCAAAGGAGTCTCTCGTCCTTGTTATCTCTAGGCTTTATTCTTCCGTGTTGTATTGCGTAAACCCATGCCCCGATCGCTGCGATACGAGGGGTCAGTGGTCCGGGCCCGGAATGCCAATACATAATGTGGCCATCGGTCCCTCAAGCGCCTCCATAGAGACAAGGCCCTGCTCTTTCACCTCCTCTTTGACAGGCACCATTTCATTTTCAACTTGCTTTTGAGAATCAATCCACATTCACGATGACTGGCTCGCGCAAAATCACTGATTACAAGGCCCTCACCTTTGACTGCTTCGGCACCCTCGTCGACTGGGAGTCTGGCATCTACAACATGTTCCAGCCCCTGCGCAAGCAGCTCCCCGCATCGCACCCCAACCACGAGGACCGGGTCTACTTCCTCAAGTCCTTCATCAAGAACGAGGGCATCGTCGAGCACGCGAATCCCACCGCGCTGTACCCCGACGTCCTCGCCGACACCTACCGCGCCGTCGCCCGGGAGCTGGACCTCGACCCCAAGGACGACGACGCCATCGCCTTCGGCGGCGCCGTGGGGGACTGGCCCGTCTTCCCGGACACGCAGGAGGCCCTCAAGCGCCTGCAGCGGCACTTCAAGCTCGTCATCCTCTCCAACGTGGACAAGGCCTCCTTCGGCCGCGCCCTCACCAACCAGCTGCCCGAGATCCAGTTCGACGCCATCTATACGGCGCAGGAGATCGGCACTTACAAGCCCGACCCCAACAACTTCCGCTACCTCGTCGACCACTGCGGCAGCGAGCTGGGCGTGCAGGCCGACGGCATCATCCACACTGCCTACGCCATCCCGCACGACCTCGTTCCCGCGCACAAGGCGGGCCTGGCGACGTGCTGGATCGAGCGCGGCGTCGAGTTCCCCGCCGTGTGCGGGGGGGCCGACAACAAGGAGGCGTATGCGCACGAGTCCGGCTGGGCGTGGCAATTCAAGACGATGAAGGACATGGCCGACTACGTGGACTCTCTGTGAGTGTAGTAGGAGCGGAGGGGGTGTAAATATTTACTAGAGCGGGAAACTGGTGCATTGCATTGGGGGCTGGCTACATGACGGTATCGGCGGGCATCCTGTATACAGAAACTTAATCTAACGGAGCATTTTCTACCAAGGCGCTTGGCACAAGGACTACCCTTCTCGTCGGCCCCGAGATGAAGCTCGGAACTACGGGAGGAACAATGGAAGCAGCATGTGAAAATTCATCATTCATCAATGAGGACGTGCCATCTCCGCGGGAAGCGACTGTCCAATGTCTCATCTCAGCCTGCCACGGGTCTCAAAAGTGAGGGGATGAAGAATGAGCAGCGCCTCGGGTAGAGACCTCTCCTAAAGAAGACTGTGATCTATCACATCTCCACACCGGTCAGTCCAGAGGTCCTGTTAAACGGACTTGGCATTCTCGCGTAGAGGTTCAGACCCCTCAAGTCAGGTGGCACAAGATAATGCGTAGTCGACGGAACGGCCCTCTAAGGCCACCATATTCCGTCACTCGCACTGACATTTCGGGCTGGCAGCAGAGAGCAATGCATCACAAGAGGTGGGGAAGGACAGATCCGATGGCAGGGCGCAGGACCGGGCGAACAGGTGCATATAGTCGTATGTATGTCTCGTTCTGGTAGACCGGTTCACACCACCTTGCCAGGGAGGATGGCCCTCAGAGTAAATCCCGCCACCAACATCATAAACCGCCGGTAGAACGACTGACACGTGTGTTATTCTGCGGCCAATTTTGGTTGTCCGTCGAGGAGGAGGGTGGCCTCATCACCAAACCTGTCATTATGATAGAAATGTGAAAGGATGCAAGACGCTCCTTCACCGCTCAGGTGTCGAGGTAGATATCTAGCTAGTCACATATCCCTTGCATACATACTCCGTACATACGTATGTATTCGACCTAGACCATCAAATCTGTAGTTTTGAGACACTCGCTAAGGAAGCATGATGTCGTTGTAGTGGAGGTCGGTTGTTCACTCGTAGGGGCCGGACCGGACAGTGTCGCGCACAGTGATTCGTGTCACCGGCAAGGCCCGCTATTAGGAGCGCGCACTACAATGCGGACAGTTTAGGGCTTCGTAGCGGAGATTTTCAGCGAATGCTCATCTACACGGTGTATACTCACAACTACAGACACAGTATTTTACAGTGCAGCTCAGCGCTGCGTTAACGCTGATTACAGCGGGAGGCACTCCAAAACCGCCTACGAGTGCTTCTCCTACAGTGCATCACAGGCAGATAGCGAGAAAGGATCAGTGAAGAAGGGCTAAGGAGTTTGTATTCGGTGAACATGAAGCTTTGCAGACACATCTCAACCCTCCAAATCAACGAGGCCCTAATGGCATGCTTTGAAATGAAAATATCAGTCTCATGTAGCCCAACCCATGCAAAACATACTTCCATATCACCGGCTGTATAAAACCGTAAGTGTGTGTTTGTCCAATCTGTGAGTCCCAAGCCGTAAAATCCAATCCAACTGAAGGAGAAAATAGGGAAGCTTTTTGAAAAGAAACGAGTGACAGGGCGTCGGGGGAAACGCGATGAGTGGCATCCATAGTTACCAATATTCATAAAATCGTGAGACAAAACGACCCCTGCGTCATGTCGTGCTAGCAGAGAGGGGGGGAACTGACGGCCCTCTACATCATGGCGTTGGGCACAAAGAGAGGAATCTCCATCGGCTTGTCCTTGTGAGGACGAGTCGAGTCAATCTTACCCGAGACATGCCCGGGGACGGTGGGCTTGCGGGTGAACAGGATGATCATGTCGCGCGTGGCGTCCTTGGACGTGTCGTCCTGGTACACGGGCGACAGACTGTGCTTGTACTCGTGGTCGACGACCATGAGCGTGTCGAGGAACTTGGTGTGTTGCACACGGCCGCGGATGTTCTCCGGCTTAGCCTCGTTGAGCTTGATGCCCGTCGTCTCCTGCATATCGTGCATGAAGGTGGCCGCGCTGTCGGACCGCATATTCTCAGTGGCCAACAGTGTGGTCAGGGTGTGGTCTACGCCGTCGGCGTGGATGCCCTCGAGGGCGGGTTCCCCAAGGATCTCGTTGTTGGTGGTGGTGCGGACGGTGAAGAAGGTCATGATGTTGAATGGCTGGTCATAGTCCATCTTCTCACGGTGAGCTACGTTCATCCCGTGTACGATTATGCTCTTGAAGACGAGGATCCCCTGAGCCAGGGTGTTGTGCTGGATATTGTTGTCCAGCTCGTCGAACCGACGGAGCACACCGGAGTCGTAGCGGTCAAAGTCCTCGCCGACGGACAGAGCAAAGGGCTGGAACTCGAGGCGCTGAACAGTATTCTTGGTGTAGTCGAACTTCATCCGGCCGTTGATCGTCTTGCGGTAGGGCAGTGTCGGGTCCCAGGTCAGGCTGTCACCAACATGCTTCAGAAGTTCGTAGTCTTCCATGGTGCCACCGAGACCAAGGAGAATCTCCTTCATCTCCTCACCTGGGACAAAGATGTAGCGATCCTCATGATACTTCTTGCGCCAGGCCATGGTCTTGGCAATGGCCTTGTAGAATGAGGGTTTGTACATGTGCTCTCGGATGTTCAGCTGGCCCTTGGGGACGGGCACGTTGGACACACCGGCGGTGGCCGAGGCAGCCACCTCCGGCATCATCGGTGGAGGTGGTGGGGTCATGACGGGCTGTGTGGCGGCGTAGACGGCACTGGCCTTTGTCGACTGATGGATCAGGCGCGCATTCTTGGTGTTGATCCTCCCGGCAGCCTTCGTGGCGCGGAGCAGAGAGGATGAGGCACGGAGGGCCTGCCTGCTTGTTGAGACAAAGGACATCTTGGGATATTTCTTGTCCTCACAAATGAAGTTATTTGCCTGCTTAGTGTTGTAAAATATAATGTTTCTTGTAGGGATGAGCTACTATCAAAGAATAGTAATGAGGACAAAGTGGCTCAGGATAGCCGTCAGGGTGTTATCAGAATGTTAATGAGGCTCAGGATAGCCTTTGGGGTCAGGAAGTTGAAAATCAGAAACAGGGAAGAGAGTTCTTCCAATATTTGGGCTCAGGATTGCCGCAAATATTGATAATAAAACTTGGCTCAGGATAGCCACCAGCAGAGCAGGACGCTGGTTAATGTTACTCCCCTGAAATAAGACCAGCGATCAAACAACTAACTTGTCTGTTGTTCTCTGATCCTTTCGGGGTGGTAGCAAAAAGAATTTGTAAGAAGCAGAGTGAAGAGTATCTGTCTGTATGTAGCAGTCCAGATGCTAACGGGTAGAGAAGAAGAAGAGAGAGAAACCAAGGGCAGGAGAGGTGGGATATGATCACAATTTGTAATTCTTTCCACGGGTTGGGCATCTACCGGTACTCCATGAAAGAGTTTTCTGGTTTGTCGGTCTATACCCGGTACGTTCCCTGGCCAAGGGAATGCATGCACCCATTACGGACTCAACTGCGTGCACACACATTATGGATGCATGTTGTGTAACTCGTAACTTGTACATTTCCAAACTGTAATACTGGATGAGCCGAGCCTAGGCGAGTATTCACGCATGGGCGGGTCTGATGTCAGACACGGTCACCATTTTTGGTCCGTCTGACGGTTCCCAACGCGTTCCGTTATGCTTGATGGTGGTGTCGGCTCGATCAATGTAGACGACAGATGAGGAGGATGGGCAGGGTGCAGTGGGATGGTGTGATTGGCCGCCGTAACCCTCTGCCGTCCCAATCAAGCCGCGTGCAGCGTTTCCCACAGGATTTCCGCTTTGGATCTGACCTGATTTCAAAGGTGGCGATCCGAGAGCCACCATGTCTTATACGGCCGGTGACGTGACATGCCAGTACTTCTTAGGCCAACTCGCCTTCCCCTCTTAGACCGATGTGTCTCCCTAAAAGGACCGGAACTAGCGAACTAGCCAGGTTCCGAGATGGTTTTGTGCTTTAAAGCTTCACGCCTGATGGCTACATAGCTTTTTGAGATCTTAGATGTGAAAAGCCTTTCCCTGGCGCCTGGCGGGACAGTCGTATTCTCGGATGTAGGCAAATTTCAGGCAGCTATGCTCTGGCTGTGGGCTGAATGATGGTGTGAAACATCATTGCGTATGTCTTTCATTGCAATGTATGTATTGCCGTATGTGCATTCAGTTGTGGGGGTGCCATCGCAGGCGGCCTCACCAATGAGCTCTCCAGCCCAGCCTGTACAGTATAGAATCCCGATCTGTGAGTGGTCTCTGCTAATGCCAGGGTGCGTCGTATCCATCCATACATTCTGGACAAGATGTAGGCGCACGCGCACACACCGTCCTGTACGCTGAGGGCATACAGCTCGGGGGAAGGCATATCATTTCTCACATGCACACTTGGAACATACATGTGCATGGTGTTTATTGTAGGCAGCCATTGACTTGCACAAAACAATGGCATAATCTGTAACCGATGCCGGATGCGATACTTGGCGGTGTCTTGGGCCCCGTTTCGCTTGTCGAACTCAGTCCAATCAAAGCATCTTTTTCGGTGTTTTCAGCCAGCCAAAGGGAACTGATCCTCAAGGAAAATTTCCTTCAACGGTAAGCCGATGAAGAGATCCGATTCCATACGAGTGAAAACGCACCCTTTTCTTATGCAGGTTGTGGCTACCCATGTTGGCGGGACATTAAAGACAGATTTGTTCAGCACTGTTTTGTGACGATTAATTTTTTTAGTGTATTGACTTGACTAATTGTGAAATGCCGAAGCAATGGTTCATACCTCCTGTGCCGGTGTCGAGGCTGTACCTCTGCCGAGGAATGCATGTGGAGATCCTGGTCTGTCTGATATTGGCCGATTTCCCTCTGATGGGCCTTTTTTTCATTCTGCTTCTCCTCTCTCATTATTTCTGACTTTCACGTGGTTGTTGTTTGGTTGGAACTTGTTCTCCATCCACTTATTTAGCACCCATAACCCAAGAAGTGTGCCTGGAATGCTCATAGGTGAATGGTGTACTATCGTGCTATACCTTCAATGGACAATTAAGCTGCAGGATAACTTTTTAGGCCAAGCATGCAAGTGATATGCTTTGGCCTAACAAATGGCTTGCTCCCTTGCATGAGACAGCAGCAGTAGTAAATGGCGGTGGCCATGCTTCCAGCATTTCCTCCACAATACGCAAGCACGAGGTCGTAAGCATTCAGAATCTCGGGGGATTTCATACATGCGTGGTCCCCAGCAGCACTGATGATCGATCAACGTTTTCTAATTGGGCATAAGGGCCAGAGATGGCGATGATACTTGGGCTCCCTGGTGATGTGCAGAGCATGTGCAGGAATCGGCTTTGACTCGGATGTCCTGTAACCTGCATTTGCAGCGGCTCCACGGCCTCCGCTCAATGTCTCGGAATGCGAGCACCTAAGATTGGGCAGTTCTTGGCCGAGCCGGATGAAAGTTGTTGTTGCTGACAGGGCGTTCCACCAAAGCATGATCGGGCTCACAGGCATCGGCGGAATACATCACCCAATGAGCAAATTACCTCCGTTCGGCCCAGAGAGTAAGCCTCCTTGGCTGTGTGATGAGGTACGGCACCGGGTCCGAGTCGAGCCCCCTATCCAGGATCAACTCGGGATGCTGTTCCACCGCATGCTTCAGCGTGATCATTCCAGTAGTCTACCGGGTGTCTGGTGTCCCTCCCAAAGCAGTCCCTCTCAAAGCAAACTGCCTGAAAACAGTGCCTAACAGTGCAGAAGAAGCTGCTCTGTCAGCACTGCACGACGTATGCTCCCCTCACTGCCCTGGCTTCCACTCAGCTCCGTCCATCCCCTTACCCCGCCCCATCTTCGCCCTGTATGTATTGGTTCGCTGCACGTTGGCTCCAGAATGTATGTCCCTAGAAGGCGCAGTGTCTTGAAGGAGTCTTGCGGGCGGTGGTGGCGCCTTCCCTGTACATAGCAATTTCTGCCTATTTCAACGTCATTGCGCGTGCTTGAGCAACCTGCACGGCACATTTCAAAACCTGTGTTGTATGCATACGCAAGAAATCTGTCAGTTTGATTTGACTTGAGTGAACGGCTGTAACCATACGGATACCCAATGGCTTCCTCATCCACCACCACAACCGTCCGAGAAACGGCCCCGTCCGTTTTGAAGCTTCGCCCTGATGGCGCTTCCCAGAGCCAACAGCAGCAGCCTGTCTTCCCACCTGGCACAGCACTGGCTGATTTGAGCCGAGGCCCAAACCCTCTGACCGGTATTCCCGTATTCAGCTCATTCGATGAGCATCGTCGTCATATTGCGTTGCATATGGCAGCCGTCTTCCGCAACTGGGCTCGTGTCGGTTTCACTGAGGGTATCTCTGGACACATCAGCGTCCGAGACCCTGAGTTCCGCCACCTCATCTGGATGAACCCCATTGGCAGGCATTTCTCTTTGCTCAATGCGGGAGACATGCTATGTGTGGACATCAACACTGGCAAGATCGTCGGCGGCAACATGGTGAGTGGGCTCTGCATCCACTGAATCGATGAACTGGTACTGACGACCGTATGCAGAACCGGCCTTTGAACAATCCTGGCTTCTTCATCCACTCCGAGATCCACAAGATCCGTACTGACATCAACTCCATCTGCCACGCTCACACCATCGCCGGCCGCGCGTGGTGTGCGTTTGGAAAACCTCTTGACATGATCACCCAGGATATCTGCGACCTCTACGGTGCACTCGCTGTTGACAACGAGTACCTCGGCATCGTCACGGCCGAGCAGGAGGGCCAGAACATTGCCAAGGCTCTTGGTCCCAATGGGAAGGCCGCACTTCTCATGAACCACGGCCTTGTCACTGTTGGTCACACTGTTGATGAGGCTTCATTCCTGTTCGGGCTTGTGGATAGAAGTTGCGACATCCAGTTGCGCGTTGAGGCTGCCTGTGGCGGTAACCCTGAATTGAAGAAGCAGATTATCAGCCATGAGCTGGCTACTGCCAACGCAAAGATGACGAATGAGAAGCATTGGCTGTATGAGGAAGCGCAGCCGGATATCGAGATGGAGATTGAACTCGGGACAGACAAGATCACGAGCGGCATGGAGAACATCAGGCTTTACCCTGAATTGATGAACCAGGCTTGATTGTTTCCTGTACATGAATATCAGATGATCATAATTTTTTTTGTAGAGAGAAGCCGATCATTTATATTGTATGCTTTAAGAGGTCGAGGATAGAATCATCAATTAGTTTCTTGTTCCCTAGACAAAAATTTGCAGTTCAGTCAAACAATCCACGTTGTCAAATTGAATGGACACTGTGTGATATAAATTGAATAACTGTAAGATGAAATATAAAATTATTTAGGCAAGAAAGACTTCACTGCAAGTAGTTCTTGGTGTCCAACCTCATCAGTCCTTGATCGCGTGAATGGCTTGGAGTTTTCTTCACTCATAATACTTTGTTATATTATTAGACTCTCTAAATGAAGATTTTAGATTAGTTGAAATGACCGTTGCTCCATATAGAGCTCAGCGGGATTTATCAGTGACTCTCGTATTCATTGTGTTGAGTTGTCATGCTCTGGCATCTCGCATTGTTGTTGAAATTTATACTCTTTCTCTTACCTATCAGTGACTCTCCTGACTTTCTATCCTTCTATCTCGATAAGTTAGTATTCTTGCCTGCGGAAAGGGTAGCTCAGATTGCAATATTATCCCATTACATTATTGTTCTTTGCACATAATAGACATCTTTTAAACCATCTGATTGAAACCACCTGCCCCGATTTTGCCACAATTGTTTGACGCTTATATCGGACGTAGCTTCTCCAGTATATAATTCATCGACTCATCGCAAATCATAGGCACTATCCTCTAGCAACGGACTCTCTTTCGATTCCCAAAGGCAGTATAGAATACATACGCAAAGAAGTAAGGGTAAGAATCTGATAATTCACGTAAAAATGCAGGGCTACTAACGTCGATGCGTGGTTTAGGGTCGGTGTTATATGATGTGCCAGGAACGTTTATGCTTTCCCTCGGTGTTCCAACCGCTTTTTATATTCTTCGATTCAACAGGATTCAGATTCTTTCATCACTTTGAAGAAAAGATCGCCTTATTGTTGGAAATGGAGAACCATTAACTAGCCCCTGGAACGATTTCCTCCGCCTTATGTCCCCGACGATCATCGGTGAGTTTCAAGATTCTGGTTCACAACTGCTATAGTACAGTCCATTGCTACATTAATTAATTCTAAATTATGGTGCATACATATCATATATATCGTGGTTTCCTACAACCTCTATCTGGAACCTGGTTTATTATTATGCTTGCTCCCACCTTCTTGGCTGTCCTCGGCGTACTCGACATCAACCGTCACAACAGTCGTCTGCAAGATGGCAACCTTAGGGCTGCCCCCTGTCACCATAGCTTTCTCAGAATCTGTATCCCCCCAGCCACCAGTATCCCCGGGTTCACCGGCAGTAATCGTGTTATTACTTGTGCCCTTAACAGCCCCCATGATGTAGGTGTCGGTTGCGATACCGCCCTCTTCCGCATCAAATTGAGAATATTGTGTCCGGTCGCGACGAGACTGGGATTTCGGAATAAAAGTCCGGCTCGGTGGGTGGGTATTCTCGTTCGTCTTAGTCTTGGTCCCGTATCTCGAAGTCCCCAGTAGTTTCGGAGCGACGTGTTTGAAGAATCTTCGAAGAGTCGGTAGTGACGCACACATTATCATCATATAGCCTTCTACTTGTCTGTCTTTGCTGTCAGTATATTCCAAGACTTATATCCCTAGGTATCATGTATGATGGTATCTAACTTACGTCCAAATACTCGCGTTTCCAACTACCCAGGTCACATCGGGATCCGTCAGCATCCCCTTGAGAATCGAGAGTCGAACGATTGAGGTGATGATTGTGAGCGATCCAATACCAAAAATAAACGCCAAACCAATCTTCTGCCGCACGGGAATATGAAGGCTGATGACCATAGGAAGAGGAAGGACAAAGAGGACGACATCGCTGACGATGTTCGTGACAGCAATCATCATGTATACGGCCGGCCGATTGATACAGTGCCCCTCCGTAACTTCTGGGTCCCAGCTCATTTTGATCGGGGTACATGCGAATATCAGCGCCAAGACGATTGGGATTGTGTAGCTTGCGATGAAGCCAATCGCCACCCAATTTGCGATCCTGAACCATGTTTGCGGAGACAGTCGAAGGTAAAACACTAACAGCGACAACTTGGCAAAGGCTCCGCAGATTGGGTATAGAATGGCGGCAATGTAGACATCCTAGAGGTCTCTTGTGAGTATAACATGCCGTGAGTGCATCGAAGGAGGGAGTAATATTGGGTAGTTGTCGTACAAGCATGTATCGGTGGAAGTTATCCATTGAAACCTCCCAAAGATGGACACCACCTATTGCAGTAGAAAACATGTCTAAAGCTCAGACTATTAATTTCAGTAACAAACAGGAAACGAGAATAATCAACATACGTAGAGTAAATCCGGAGGTAGCGAAAACAGTAAGCTATGAGACTTGTGTCAGTTTATCGTGTTGAATGACTACCAGTGGGAGAGCATCAAGAGCATCCAGAAACAGGCCCTTCTTTTCCAAGGGGGGGAATGGGTTTGCTAAACATACGACTGCTAGTATGAGGAAAACTGCAACGGAGTTAGAATACATAATCATCAGTTTGCGATGCGAGGGAGACTGATGCTTCATCTGTTGTCGTTGGAGTGTTGCAACAGGGAAGGGAGGGGGATTCAAGGGTGAAATCAGCAAGAAGAGTCTGGATTTGGAAAACCTACTATCGTCAAGTTCAATGCCTGTAGCCACAACAGCCTTCACATACATCCGCTGAGCGAAGAAGATGAGAGACAGCGATCCCATAAACCCAGCAACGTAGTACACAGAAGGCACACCAGTCCTCTCTGGATTGTTCAGGTCTACCACATAGCCCTTCGGGGCAGGCATGACCATTCGCACTCCATCGATGGTTGTCATTTCGACGGATTATACGGTGGAGAACATGCAGACTGCTGTGTCCCTCCAAGACAATGGAAAGCACAATTGCCGGCCTAAGTATCGAAAAAAAAGAAAAGAGGAAAATGCACGAAGCGGGCGTCGATCCCTTCAAGACACCGACTGATGGAAGTGGAAGGGTGGCTTTCTGGGCTTTTTTACTCTACAACCCCTTTCCCAGCTAGCGGAACGATACTAGTGCATTCGAGGAAAACACCGGTTCGTACAAGGATAGCAATCAGCCGCCTTCCTGAGGCCTAGCAGCTGTTTCCCACGTTTTAGGCTGCGTCTTAGGGGATGCCTTCGCTCCTGGGCACTTGGCAAACCACCCCAATGCGATGTTGGCAGGCGTTTATTACGTGCTACTGGCTGACTTACTTTCAGCTCATGGTGCTAAAACTTCCGGAAGTTGTTTGGCGAAGTGTGTGTGGGCCATCATCATCCAGTAAGAGCCATGTTCAGGACAGGGGCTTTGACTCAAGACCTACATAAGAGTGGTCGTAATCTTTCCTGGTAATCATCACCAGCAGCAGTCCATGCCACTTCACACCCGATATTGGAGGCTAGGGTTTTCTTTAGGTATCACAAGAAGGGAAGAAACGTGTGAATAGAGTCAGTGATCAAAGCCAGCCCTTTAAGTAGTAGGATCTCTTCCACCATTTTGGGTCCATTGTTCCCCTTAAATAGCGCCTGGCGGAGAAGCCATCTAAGCGTCCCCGGTGCAATTAGCGTCGTCTTGACGATCTTTTGGCTTGGCAACCCATTATTGGCAAAAGCAGCCGAATTGCCTACTCAGTACTTAGTCCATTACGATAAACCGTGGCAGATGCTCTCATTTTCGGCTGCCATAAGTGGTATGGGCTCGACAATACATGTTGTATCTAGCATGTGCGTTGGCAGTGTTGTGCATATCGAGCCCCTGTATCACACCAGGATTGTAGAACGTGGCTGGCTGGACTGGCTACATGTAACCAGCATGGCCATTGCAATTAATAAAGGTCTTCCCCCGCATTCTGATCGGGGAGATTCATCTCGCCCGCTTCTTGCTGGAGATTGCCCACTCTTACTCTAGACGCGTCATCCACTTTGATCAAGGCAAATGGGTATGAAGCCAGCCCGAGTGTTGGGAACTGGTGGAGGCAGCTCAGGCTATGTATCCCCACTCGTACTAAATAGCGGTTCGCTAGCACTCTCTCTGATTCTTGGTTTTCAGACCATTCGAATGGCCGACTGAAGGGTTAGGTGCCTAGTTGAAGTTGGCTGGAACCACTTCAATGAAAGGGGCCGTATTGCCGGGAATGCCTTTGGTCTTGACTTTGAGGCAAATCTCACTCGTTTACGGAGTACAGAAAGATACATTTGTGGCCAATTTGCCACGCTCACGGATATTAAAGGGAAATTGCAAGGCACTTTTGCCAAGAGATGTTCAACTTCAGCTTACATATAGTACTTTTGGCGACAGGGATGCCAAGTACGCAGGGCTGGCAGGCAGGGGCTAATCCTGGTAACAGAGAGCCTCTCGATGTTATCATCCATATCCTCCTGTCTCGCGAATTTAGCCAACTGACATACTCAAGCTTCGATCATGTCATTCCATGACTCGCGTTGTGTTTTTTTCTTTCTTTCCAAAATATTCTAAACGTTTACAAATGTAGATTGAGTGGCTTAAGTCGGTGATATCCAGTCAACTGACGGTAAGTGTATTGTAATCCTCTTTCTATCGCAGGTCGGTAGACGCAAGAATTGGTGAGCCTAGCAACATGTCTGCGAAGATCGATATGGTAAGGAAGTGCGGAAGAATGTCACACGATAGGCAATCGAAACAACCAGGAGCCACACAGCAGCGAAAGTTCATGGATCGTTACAAATCCCGTGACCAACTAACCATCTGCCCCCTGAACCGAGGAGGCAATAGGCTCGGGGCTAGTTCGTCTGTGACACAAGTTCGCCCGAATAACCTTTCCCCAATGTAGCTACGATCCAATCTCCCCAACCCCAAAACCAACCAAAGAATCGGCCTTAGATCGATACGAGGGTGAGCGATTGTGTGTTCCCTGAGAAATAGCTATTAGACCCGTGTGATCTTCGTCATCTTATCCCATCCCTTGAGTCATGGAGAATTCTCATGTACATACCAATTCCAGTAGGCAGCCTGCCATGACCCTTCAACTGTAGATTTAGGAGCTGTAGGCTCGTAGACCAATCAAATCGCTATGGCAAGCATCGTCAATTGACTTGGTTCTGGATTTAGTATACTGTTCTACGTGCTTGGTATGGAGGCTCGAACCACATTCATCTCCTCATTCTTCATAGCAGTCCTGGGCTAGGATATATTCAAACTCCAGCCTCATTATTCGGTACCCTAGACATGAATATATATTCTAATGAAATGAGCTTCTCTTCTGTTTGGTATTGAGGCACCCCTCCTTCCTACAGAGGCACGTTAACGGCTCTCTTAAGGAAGAAAAAAGGGCAACGGTGTATGACTCTTCATGCAAACTAAATAGAAGGGCGTCTTAGCTCTTTCCCTTTCATCCTCAGCCGTTGATAGATTAGGACTCTCATGTTTAGATGGATAACCTTGATCGGTCAACTTACGTCTTGGTTGCTTGAGCCGCATTGTACTTTGAAGCCAGCCGGTTGAAACGCAAGCCACTACCATAAGTTTCTATTTTGTCTTTTAATTGGGATGTACTAACTTTGTTGGTTCAAGACAATGATTACAGATTGATTCGTTTACATCCCACCAACTCTATAATTTCCCAAGATTACCATGCGCTCCGAATTGGAAATCCGAGGCAAGGTCGACCAAGACTTGAAGACCAGAACCGCTGATCATGAGAGCTTTGCCTTGATCTTGCCATCGCTAGCTTTCGCCATCTCCCGTAGAGATCGGCGTAGGATCTTTCCAGACTATTGATATGTCAGTCATATTCGTTTTCAAGTTGTTTGGCGACGAGGTACTAACCAAGGTCTTAGGGATACTGTCCACAAATACTACTCCGCCTCTCAGCCATTTGTATTTGGCTACCCTCCCTTCCAGCCATTTCATGATCTCCCTCTCTGAAACATCCGCCCCTTTGACAACATAGGCGCGAGGAACTTCTTCGCCATTAACCAAGACGCCCACTACACCAACGTCGACGATGTCTTTGCGGTCAAGGAGGACTCCCTCCAGCTCGGCAGGAGAAACCTGGAACCCGCGGACTTTAATAAGCTCTTTGACTCGATCAACAATGAACACTTTAGCCCCCGGTGCGAATCTATCCACATAGGCAAGATCTCCAGTCTTAATCCATCTGACTCCGCCATCCTCTACAATTGTCTCGGCCGTGGCTTTCGGATTGCGCCAATAGCCTTTCATCAAAGTTGGCCCAGAATACCAGATCTCACCTACCTTGTTGGGTTCTGTGACCTCTCTTTCCCCGTCCATTATCTTGAACTGTCCATTGGGAACGGCTTCGCCAACAGAAATGGATTTCTGCATATCTTCTGTACTCCAAAGAAGCCCGGCACACGTAATCTCCGTCATTCCCCAGCCTTGTCGGACGAAATTCTCCCCGTGCGGCCAGAGCTTCTGCTCCGTCTCGTCAGCGACCTCCCGGCTCAGAGGCGCGGTGCCACAAGTGACGTCTCGAACGCTGGACAGATCATACTTTGCGCATAGAGGGCTCTTCGCAATGTTTAGAATGATGGGCGGGGCTGCGCTGAGCGAGGTGATTTTGAAGCGTTGTATGTGCTGTAGCAGTTTCTCAAAATTATACTCAGGCATTATGTACGTCGTGACTCCCAGCTTGGGCTGGTTCGCGACAAAAGTGGTCTGCCCGGCTGCGTGGTATAGTGGCAGGAAGCAGAGACTCTTGGATATCTTCAGCAGCTCTCTACTCTCGGGGGTTTGCTGCTCGAGGAAGTGGCAGGCTACTCCGTTGGCAATGTAGGCATAGTGAGAAATCTCCACGCCCTTTGCCAGCCCAGTTGTCCCTGAGCTATAGTTGAGACAGCAAGTGCTTGTTAGTGGGTCAGAGGGCTCAACCCAGTCAAACCTCTCTGCTTCCTCCGGGTTGGCCAGCAGGGCCGACCAGTGATTTATGACAAGCTGGCTCATACCTCCCGCACTGCTGAGCTCATCATCAAAGGCATACAAGCTGGCCTTTGTTAGCCCGTTTCTCTCCATGGCATCGAGAGCCACCGGGACGTTCTTCTTTCCCGCGATAACAAAGCGAGCTCCGCTATTGACCAATTGGTGGGAGAACTCCATTGACCCAAATGCTGGGCTCGCCCCGGTGAATATTCCTCCTGCCATGAGAACACCCATGAATACAGCGGGGAAGAATAGAGTGTTCCCGCTGAACAACAGTACCCGGTCTCCATGGGCTAAGCCTGCCCTCTGCAATCCAAGTGCAACTCTTTTAGAGAGAAGGCGATATTCGGAAAAGGTCAATGATCTTGTGTCCGGGTTATCCGCATCGACGAAAGTGACACGATCAGGCAATGGACCGAAAGATGAACCAAACACCCATTTTTGCAAAGATTGCTCGGGAATTGGCACTGTCCATCGTGACTGGATCGGCATGTTTGTGGGATGTGTGTAGCGGGTATATTGGGATCAAGTGTAGAAATAATACGTTTCACACGTCAAAGCCTTTCAAAACAGCATTTGCTTAAGATTAAAACGATGTGTATTTACCGAATTCTAGAAGATCGAAACTGGAGCTCGGCGCTTCCACACGATTTCGATGCCTCGGCTCGTGCGGGGAAGCGAAGTAACATCATCATACCTGACACAGACCAAGTACCTGCAAGGATCACGGCTTTTGTTTTCCAGGGACTCTTGGGTTACTAGGCATTCAAAGTGCCTAAATGGGCTATAGGCCCATAAGTCGAGTCAGAATACATAGAGTCAGATGCACATCATATACCTATATCCTACCCTCTATCCATCAATAACTTATAAGTAGCTCCATGAATCCCTCTCACAATTGAGAGTCCGCTAGAGTTGCGATGGCTCTCTATTCTAAGCGATTTCAGGCCGCCTTCCTACCTATCTATTCCCTAGTCGCTATAATAGTTATAAATTTCATTTAACAATAATTAGGAATTGTACGAGGGAAATGTTTTCGCTCCATTGGCGCAGTTAGCTGCCCTGAAAGAACAACACAATTATGTAACATATTCACTGATATGTAGATAGCACATGTTCACAATGATATGATGACGATGTAATTCTTCAGCTTATTGATCATTTCATTGAAGGACATATTGTGTCAATTTGATATTTAAAGAGGAGATCATATTAAATTAATCAGACTAAGGATGGGCAGCCGCATCGGATTAATATCATATGATCCTCACTTCAGCTCATATGGCTTGCCTAAAAAGGCCGTTGGGCAGGTGACGCTGTCAAAAGCAGCATCTCGCCTTCGCCGCCTCTTGTATGCTTTAATGGATCTCCTTGCCAAGATCGGTAATTTCGGGCACTGTGTTCTCCTTGCTGTTGATACTTTGGATCTTGGGGTCGTTATACCCTGGAATGTCATCAGTATCAATGGTAGTGGTGAGAACGTATTCCTCCTTGTCAATGTGTCTGAAAAGAACCCACTACGAGTCGTTAGCTTGTGCAATCAGTATTTTTCATGAACTGGGTCACTTACAAAGAGGAGAGTAGTAGCGAAACCAGCAATAGCTGGACCGCCGAAATCCCAGACCAGGAGCGGGTCGGCTACTGCACTCGAGCAAGCCAGGTTAACTGCGTACGAGAGAGCCGTGCTGAAACAGTTGATGGCAGAAACGAGGCCCTTCATATTCCTGGGAGCACGAGAGTACGCAATACCGTAGGCTAAACAATGTTAGTGTCATTCGAAAGAAGGCGGAACCATGAGGGATAACGAACCAGGAACATTGACGAAGAGCTCGGAAATACCACCAATGGAGTAGGGAAGTCCCATCCACCAGACAGAGATATCCGAGGTCAAACCAGGGTCAACGCATGCGGGATCGGATGAACCATAGTAGCCGCAGGGAGAGGATTCGTAGGCGTAGTATTGGAGGACGCAGTATGCAATACCTCCCAAACTAGCGATGAAGAATCCGGTGCAGATACGCTTGATAGGACCGTAGTGAATCTTGAGCGATCGAAGGAGTGGGTAGAGACCGAACTATTGCGTCATATGTTAGCGATATGTGCAAGGAGCATCAAGTCATAACTATTGCCTTACATTCAGAATGGGGGAGAAAAGGATAATAGCGAGGGGGTTGAAGTTGTTCAGGACATCATTAGGCGCGCCATCAGTCCTGAGCATAGTGCTCAAGTAACTAGCAGAATTGGCCAAACTGGGATATCAATGTTAGCATTGCGGAAAGAGTGGCTGATGGCGCTTGGTCACGTACCCGTTGTCGTTCCAAGACTGCACTGGGAGAAGACAGAACATGCCAGTAGCCTGGAATGTGCGTCTGACATCCTCAACAAACTGATCGTCGTACTTGCTCGTGACTGCGAGCCCCTGGGAAGCACGATAGGAAGGTTTGGCATGCTCCCAGAATCCCTTGCGTCCAATCCGCCAGATGCCGCCGTTCTTCAGAGCCTGGCCAAGCACATGCATGGCATTGGGCAGGTCAGAACCTCCTGGCTTGTGCAGGACAAGCTTCTTCTTGATGAGTAGCAGGATAACAGGGAGGGGGATGTAGAGGATCAAGGGCAGCAGCCACGACAGCCACCAGCCAACATACTTCTCCGAGTATGAGGTGGCGACCTGCATGAATCCTCCAATGTTAATTAAGAGATAGAACCACAGCATCGCTCTCTCAGCACCGTGCTCTGGGTCCTCAATGACGCGCTCCCCGGTCTTAAGAGTAACGACCTTTGGCAGCCGAGTCTTCATCTGATCAAGCAGAAGTGGAGTAACATTTGGCTTGAACATGGCCGCCCCGAGGGAAATGATGTAGATACCAATGAAGAAAGGCACCTTGGCGTTTCCGTTCTCGAGGAGGGACTTTGCACCCGAGGAAACCAGGATAACATGTCCAACACCCATCACAGCGATACCTGCCATGACCATGGAGAAGCGACCGGTTCGGGTGTCGGAGAGATAACCCGTGATAAGAGGGAGAGCGTAGGCGAGGAAGTTGACAGATTGGTTGACGGCATTCTACTTGATGTAAGTCTCTGGTCATGAGGAAATGTTTTGCTTGAAGACTTACAGCCTTGGCTTGTCCCATTCCCAGAGCACCTGGAGTTTGCTGAGTTCCAATTGGGGGCGCTCCGTAGCCATTGCCACCGTCTGGCATCGGCCGGTTGACGAAGTTGGAGTAAAGACCTTGGCATCCTGAAGAAGAGTATTAGTGAGGCTGCCAACAGGGACCATACTGCCTGACATTAAGTCAATACTGACCAAAATAGGAAGCACGTTCGCAAAATTCGGCCAAACACAACAGATAGGCGACGGCTGGAAGCTTGCCGGGGACACGACGAAGGGTGGCAGACTCCTCCTTGGTCGGCTTGCCCTCATAGTCGGCATCTAAAGCCGTGGTATAGACCGGCACGTGTTCATCGCTGGTGTTCTCCTCGCTGGCATACACCTGCGTCACTGTCTTTGGAGTAGCCATGGCGTTCCTACGTGACGGGAAATATGCAAGAGCCCAAGGAACGAGACACTGGACGGCGTGTTCATCATAAAAGCCCAGTTGCTTGGGATTTATACCATCCTGCCTCAGTTCTGGCCTGCCGATAAGCGGACTGTGGCCCCTGGCCGTATTCCACGACCTGATGTTGCCGCAAACCCGGAGAATAGGACTGGACGAGAAATATCGTTGGCTGAAACCAGGGCCCTCGTGGCAATTTCCCACAATTCCCGTCCCCGCCCTCTTGGCAGCAGTTCGTTGTGGGAAGGTGGATCAAGGAACTTTGTTTATCGCAGGCTTTCTATCTCGGAAAACCGGCAAGGCTGTTCGTGATCTTTTGCAATGCAACGTTAGATTTTTCATTCAATTGGGATCTGGAATGGCGACATGGCAAAAGTTCGCCCCCCGGAGTAGAGCCTGTAAACAGATAAGAAGGATTCAAAATCGGCTGAACGGCACGGTCTGGGCTGTTCAGAGACTGGCTTGTTTTGCCTTTTGGTACTAGTTTCATTGATTATATTAGAGACAAGACCTACGTTCGACAAGAAGGTGTTTGGACGGATGCCCGGTTCGTAACTGCCCACGCTTGATTGGCTCTCTTTGATCCTTCGATATTGACCCCCAACGTTTGTGTCCCCCGTTTCGACCATTTGTGACCCAGGATGATGGGCACATACAATTCAGAAGTGATTTACATGGATCAGGTGATAATTCATGGCTATCAAGCATCACCTGATGCCTTTCAATCGTATTATTCCACTATATCAGTACACCCATAAGTGCTCGATGTGGAAGACGACCCCCGAAATCTTCTATAATGAGAATAACCCTGGATTCTGATTTGGAAGAGCAGATTTCTCTTCAAGTGCACTTAAATGGTGTTAGGTCTTATGTTTGGATTTCCCAAATCGGTTCGAAGATAATTTTATCCGGGCTGGTTTGGTTTACTTCCTTATCTCCTTCATTTCCCTCCCGTTTCCATTCATCTCCCTTCTAACCCCCCCTCAAAGATATGGGAGTTTTCCTCAACTTACATAGTGACTCTACATCTAGTATGAAAGAAAGGACTTCCTCAAAATAGCTGTGCCAACGAAAGAGTTACAACAACGAACACGACCGTTCTTCGCTCTTGAGCTTGACTACAGTCAGTTTTGTCGCGCTTTACTGCAGGGTAATGATATCCAAACCTTACTTTCAAGTGCAACGGGCTTTTACCTGAGATGAATTGTGCTCTCGATGACTGGGGTGAGCGCTATGCAGTCTGCCTTCCATTTGTCTTTGGCAGAGCCTCACTTATTACAACAGTAGCTAAGCTTGAAAAAGGTCGTAGATTCAATTGTAAAGACATATTCTTTAAATATTAAGTGCCCCTCGGAGTCTATTGCTTACTTTCCTAAGAGCCGGCATCTGTAAGTCTATCGATGATAGGTAACCTCTGAAGTAAGATGTCAACACTGCAATTGTGTTAGTAGCTGGGCTGACCTAATTACTTAAAGTCTTTTTCCAAGTATTGAGCTGACAATTTCAATGCATACATCATTTTGATAACTTTCGAGAACGAAGAGATGCATGAGAAGGAGCCGGGGAAATTATCCTTCTCCAGCGCTTCTAGCCATAGAAATGTATCCATCAATTGGAGCGCACACTGCAATTTCGGCCAACATCAGCGCCCGCTCCATGATCGCCCCATGACCTCTTCAGCCGAAGTGACAGCTAGATCAGGAAGTCTCTCATTGAGTGTATTCTCATTCGGTACGCGATAGTACCCCAGTCCGATTTGGTATTGAATGTGTGCAAAGTACGCCTGATCCCCATCCCCACGCCCGATGGGGGGGGAATCCTCGATAAATGAGATCTTTCCGCTCTTGAGCCTATCCAAGCTGTCGTGAACAATCTTAAACTTGCAACCTGCGTCTCGTGTTACTTTGGGAAAACGAAGCCGCTTGACCGATGACATTACCTCTTCTCTTTTCTGCAAGTTCAGCAAGCTCACTCATTGTCATCGTGTTGGACACGATTGAGCTAACCTTGTCCCAGTGGTCTAGGTCCATCAATCTTCCGATAAAAGTGCCGAGGTCTTGGGATGTGATGAAAGCTGCTCTAGCAGATCCATCGCCGGGGATGACGGCCCATTTCTTCTCCATGTTGAGAACATTGAGCCAGGGGTGGAGTGATGTCTTCCAGTGCGGCATGCCGTAGTAATCTAAAAACAGCCCATTAACTATTCGTGTATATGATAGATTTGTCTTTTCCAGCTCCTCCAGAGCATTGAGTGCGTATCTTACGCGAGGTGTCAAAGACGCATGCCTGTGACCGTTAGCATGGCGGAACTCGGAATTTCGCATGCGTGGACCGTCATACTCTTGCACTTGAAGCTTGTCGTAAGTGCTGATAGTGAATCTTCGAGTCGTTGATGAGAGATGAGATGTCAGGATGAGATTGATTTGTGCCTCGCTTGCCTTCTCGTCTCACACGCTAATTGCAAAGATGAGAGCGTCAATCTTCGCTTGCTGCAAGGTCTGAGCAGTGGTTTCAATATCGTCATACTGAGCAAGAAGGTAGTTAACGCCCAATGTGGGTACATTTTCCTATGATAGTCAACTTCTGGGCTTCCGTGGCCAGGAAGGGTTATAGTACCCCTCGGGAGGGAACGAAGACCTGGCTGCCGTGCTGGACCAAGCCCTCAACGATATTTTCCCTTATAGGTTCTGTCCCACCAGTAACTGCAATGATGGCCATGGCTACGTTAGATGAAGGAGTTTCAAGAAATTGTTTGCGAAGTAATTATGAAGGGTAAGCAGGGGATACCCTACCTTCATACTCGACGGCTGATGGATGTTGTCGCCGTCGCTTGCTCTTTTCAGAGATGTTTCCCGGCGAAATGCCGTGACTTGCCTTAATTTCTTCCGACTGGCAGGTCATTAGGTTAGAAGATGCGGAGCTCCCGGTTAGATGCCGCTCAGCGGCCGGTGGTATAAGAATGAGTACTGACGATTGGTTTTGCTAAAAGGGAGCAGCCAAGCCCGTACTTCAAAATGGCGATATCCAAGGCCATTATTAAGGTCAATGAAGTAGTTGGAGAATGATCTACAGTATATGTTGATCATCCTGGTACGGGCATTTCACAGTGCTATAGCTACCTATAGCTCGCTATACCTACTCTATGAATGATCGAAGCCTTGGCCGGTAACAATTCAAATTGAGTAAAACGCTGCACTGCAATCGTGACCCGGAATTTCTCCTTCAAGACTTTTTGTAGGTCTAGTCTGCCCGAGATTGACCATCGCGATACTTCACTAGACAAGATGACACTAGGTAAAGAGCAACAAAAACGTCTTTGCAGAACATTACTTCGGAGATCGTATCGCAATGCGATATATGGCAGCTCGTGGTGATCGGCTTTGGCTATAGGATCATATCAAGTGGTTGGTTGAGCTTCCAAGTCGTAGCGAACGGCTATGGAGAGGTGACGGCTGCCTAGATTGCCCTTTGTGTTCATCTTTATTATAATATCTATACCGACAATACCTGATGACTTGCAAAGCTGCTTATGCTGAAATGTATGTGGCACGCTATTCCTCAAGAAAGATGAAGAAAGTGTTTTAAGTAGGATAGCCCACTGAAATATTTTACACACATTGTCCCTATACCTGAGATCCAAGATCTGCAACGATATCCTTAGTGTTTCTGTGAAGTTTACATTCTGAAAGGCCGGCTAAACTTAAACGTCCCCATTGATAGGAGCCGTTGCTCCACCAATCTCACAGACGGAGCATTTCTCCCATTTAGCCCTTCTCAACCCGTCGAGCAAGTGCTCAGATCTAACGTCCAGATCGGACGATTCCATTCTAGTACTTATACCAAGAATGCCATCATGGCTCAGTTTGTGGTGCTTCTTCAAGTGTTGTTTGAGTCCAACTCGGGTGAATTTCGATGGCGGCGAGGATCGGCAGTGACCCAGAGCACACTCAAAAGGGCCGTGAGCCTGCTCCATATGCGACTGTTGCTGAAAATCAGCGACAATCGCAGAGCAGTGCGTTTGTGTGCACTGCACCTGAGGGTGTTGCTCCCTCAAATGCTTCAGTAGCTTGTCCTTTCTCTCGAAGCCATGAACATGAGCTGGGCAGGATTCATCGGCGCATAAGAATATTTCGGTGGCCTCATGCTTATGCTGGGTCTTCACATGTCGGTTGAGGTCCGTCTGTCTACCAAAGGGCTGCTTACGTGGGCAGCCCGGCACGGTACAAACCAACGGCTGTTGATGTTTATTGCGGACGTGCTGCCTAAACTGCGAGAGATTCTTGAACTGCGCCTTGGATTTGCAATTCGCCTCGGTGCATTTGTAGGGGGGGCCGGGCGGAGGGGGGGACCCAGTAGAGTCAATTCTCATGTCGTCCGCGTATCTGCAACCAAACCCACCGAGTGCCCTTTTAGCGTCGGTTTAAAAAAAAAAACTCACGTCGATTCCGATTGGTTGGATCCAGGCACCACGGCTGACTGCCTCTCATGCAAAGATGCCTGGTTGGGCTCTAAGACACCTACAGAGGCGTCTGGGTTGAAACACTCGTTGCCAGAGACCGCCGCTGGATGATCGAGAGTCTGGGCTTCGATGGTCGGATCAATCAAATAATCGCCGGTGCTGCAATACTCGTTGAAGTCGAAAGGTTCCTGGTCATCGCCGTGGAAGTACTGGAAGAAGTACATGTCGCGGTCGAACTCAGAGGACATCGTAGGCAACTTGGGTAAGTGAGATTGCTGATTTGAGCGGTGTTGCAGGAAAGACTGGCCTAGAGCGCTTGGAGAATGGCTGTGAGGAACTTGACGAAAGTTGAAGGCGGTTGAATAAAGTGGCAGCTATCAGAGAGACGGAGCGTATTTTTGTTTTATTAGGAGGTGCGGCCATGCGCTTGAAAGAGCCTGATGCTGGCGAGCGCCCTTCTAGTGCAGGCTTTGCATGCTGACGGTCGCAATGTGTGTCATGTTTCATGTGTATGCAGGAGGAACTCAGCCACTGTAGTGAACCCAGAGGACAACCGCTCTCATCACGTGGCCCAACGGCCCCTGTCAGATAACAGATTACCTGACTCACCGCGCCATGATATAACATCTGAAATAAGATCCCATACTTGAAGCTTACCAAGGGTTTGCTCTTGGGCAGTCGCATCATCAGACTCTAGTTGGAAATTGGCTTGACTCCTCCTTTGGAGTTCTCACCGTGGCCGTATCGATATATATCATGTCGCATATGACGCACCCAGCGTCAGTGGAGGCGAGGAGTGAGGCTGAGGTGTCATTTTCTCGTGGAGGATTGGCTTACACTGGGCACAGAGCCGGCTCACCTGTTGTGTAGGCCGCTTGTCTTTATGTCCCATCTCCGCAAGTTCGCTTGGATCACCTCCCAATCTAGAGTCACGGTATCTACTATTGCGTAGAATAAAAGTTGGTGGTGAGCATATTCATAGACGACGCTTAAAATCATATGTCGTAGCGGGCTCTTGGTGCATATTGGACTCAGCCCCTCAATCTATGGTGTCTTGTCGATGAGATTGGTTAAAGCGCTATGGCTGTCTAGCTATTATATATAAACTTCTTTAATTTTTACGTGACTTATGCTCAGGTGTTTCTAAGCACTTTGTTAATTTCGGAGTACCAGTCCTAAAGATCTTCTTGGGGGGTATTAGCGTGATGAGGCTCAATTGCTTGATAATCTGAGACTTGTGCCTGTATACCGTTTACTTTGAGCATTAAAGTCATTAATGATTGTGGAACTGCGGCTTCATTTGCTTCAATGCATCTGTGTATATGAACGAAGTTTGATGACGGGAAAATATGCACTGGCTCTCTTACGTAGTCCCTCACATATTCGGCTTTGATGACTACAACTATTTCCAAGGAAATCTAACATGAACTTACATCTGCTTTGATCTTCCCGCCCTTTTCAGAGGTCATTTCTCTCCGCGATACTATATCACATGGCTAGCTATTACCATTTAGGTCACCATTTGCTCTTCTCCTCGAGCCGACTGGGTGGGGTTGGGAGCCGAACGGCGAGCCGTGCCAAGAAACGAGCCGTATGCGAGCCGGAGCCATGGGTTGGAGCTCCTGGACCTTTCTTCGCGCCCAAGTCATGGCCTTGACAATGTGACTGGGGATCTGATTGATCAATTTTCGCACATGCCACTACCAGAACAGACCTCGGTCAGACCTTCTAGCCTAATATGAATGCGAACCCCCCTCAAAGTCCCTACGCATGACCTCGATCATGGGAGTGTTGATAGCACCGAATTCTCATCTTGTAATGGTCAATGCAAACTCCATTTTGCTTCCTCCTAATCCTGTGAAACAACAATACCCAAGCCTTTAGAAGCCATGGCCGATCATACTCCTGTCTCATCATCTTCCACCACGGGTTTCTTCCAACAACTGCCGAAGGTCCTGCCACAATACACATCTGGAGCCTCTATTACCAATTCAAGCGAATTCACCGACGATGCGGTCCTCAATCGACTCATAAAGCAGTACTTGCCTCCGATAGGCCAGAAGAATGTTGGCAAAGCAATGCATGACATGTCACGACTTGTTCTGACGCCTGAAATTCTCAACCACGCAGTCGAGGCCGAGACGGTAACCCCCTACTTGCGGCCGCTCACAACCTTTGGCGAGATCAATCAGAATGACCCTCTTGTCACTTGCCAAGGCTGGAAGGCTCTCAAGGCTGTCGGGATACAGTCTGGAGTTGTTTCAAGTGCCTATGATGGCTCTGTCACCTCGTACAATCGCCGATTGCACCAATTCTTGCTCAACCATACTTGGCACCATACGTCTACCCTGACGATGTGTCCGATGACCATGACGGACGGGGCTGCCAGCCTGATCTCAAAGCATCTGCAAGACGAAGATGGCGATCAGCCAGGGCGGCTCGCGGTTCTCAAAGAGTACTACCGTCGTCTGACTACCGACGATCAGGTTGAAGCATGGACTAGTGGTCAGTGGATGACTGAGAGGTCCGGGGGTAGTGATGTGAGAGGCACCGAGACTGTTGCCACCAGATTGAGCCTTGAGGCTAGTCAAGAAGGCCAAGATAGTCTTGGCCAGCCTCTGGGTCCATGGAGCATTGATGGCTTCAAGTGGTTCAGCAGTGCCACCGACTCGGATATGACGATGCTTCTAGCCCAGACGTCCAAAGGCCTCAGCGCTTTCGTCGTTCCTATGCGTCGCAAGGCCGGGAATGGAACCCGGCTCAACGGAATTCGCATATCGAGACTCAAGAACAAGATGGGAACCAAAGGCCTCCCTACCGCCGAGCTAGAACTGAAAGGTACTCGTGGCTGGCTCCTTGGGCAAGAAGGGAAGGGTATTCGAGAAATCTCTACGATCCTCAATATCACGCGCCTCCACACCGGTGCTGGCAGTGTATCGTACTGGTCCCGGGGCCTTGCTGTGAGTAGGGCTTACACAAAGGCTCGTAAGGTCCGCGGTGCCTACTTGTACGAGAATCTGCAACACAACTACTGGATGGCGGGCGAGACAGTGAAGTACTGGGGTGCGATCTCTCTGACGTTCTTTGGAGTAGCTTTGTTAGGCTGCAATGAGCAGGGTGTCGGTGTTATGGGGGGAACTCCAAGTGCGGCATTGATTCCCAATGATGAAACTGCAAGAGATCTCCTCAGGCTTCTAACGCCGGTCATCAAAGCACAACTCAGCATGGCTGGAGTAGCCGGTATCCGCGCTAACATGGAATGCCTCGGAGGAGTTGGATACTGTGAAAATCAGGAGGATGGAGGCATACTGAACCTTGCCAAGATCTTCCGGGACTCTGTTGTGCAGACCATCTGGGAAGGTACCGTGAGCGTTATGGCCGATGATGTCGGACGTGTGCTGAGGGACAAGCGCATTGCTAAGGGGCGGATTATCGAGGATGTATTTGCTCCGTGGGTGAAGAGAGGTTTGAATTCCTGTTCTCAGAAGTTCTCTACGGAATGTGCCGCGGTTCAGAAGAGACTTGACGCTCTTCTTCAATTGGTGTCGCGTGTCAAGACCAACCCTCAACAGCTTGAGTACAGTGGAAGATGGCTTCTGGATCACATCGAGGTGATTGCTACGGCCGTCCTTTTACTTCATGATGCTAACACAGATAACGATGAGGTCGCATGCCACATTGCACGCCGGTATGTCTCATCCAAGGTATCCGAAGATAATCTGAAGCAAGGAGGTGATATCGATTGGGCGGCTGAGGCAATCATGGATCGCAAGATTTTCCTGGGTGTGAACTTTGTGCCCAGTCCCATTGAACCAAAGCTCTGAGATTGGCAACAGACGTTTACCTAGGAACTTTCTTTTAGCTCAACTACTTGTAGTATTTGGATAAACATTATCGATCCTCTTCTAAAGCGTTCCCTGCTTGCTCTGCTTAATTCTGGAACTAGTCATCCGAGACTTGAGTGTCTTCTAAGATTAAACGCCCTTGGCCGCTTCGAAAAAGAGCGATGGTGCTTCAAGCAGACCTGAGCAGCTGAGCTTCGTTTAGAGAGGATAAGTCTTACCAAGGCAAACGGCAGCAACAAACACTGTCTAAGAAATTCGTTACTTGATACTGATAATGGAAGAATCTCCAACTCTCATTTGTATAGTTAATGACTCCTACATTCGTCGACCACACGTAGACGACCTAGTTACAGAATGATAACCGTATATAATTCATGAGTGCCGTATATACTAGGTATTCTTAGGACGGCCAAGATTCTTTACATAGTTATGCTGTTAGGCGCTCCTTTGGCGGTTGAGCCGATCACAGGCTAGATCGTATAGCGAAATCCCTCAAGCCCCTCAATAATCATTAGACCCTGATCAGCCTTCTTATTGCATCTTCTAAAGTGGATGGAGAGCGAGGCCACTATGATGATCACAAGGCTATTGCAGGTGATGGTAGCATAGATGCCAGGTCGGTAAAGGGGAGAATCCTGGGTGCGGAAAACAAGTGAGCCAGCAATGCCACCAATACCTCCAAAGCCTACCAGTGTAGCGGAGCAAAAAGCACGCTTCCACTGTCCCCGGATATTATTGGCCTATCAACAGATTATTAGAATTTTCCCCAAAATTTCCAGTCAATGAAATGACTAACCTGATATGCCATGATCGTGGGGAGGTTGGTGTTTGCAGCTGCAGCGACCATGAAGACACCAAAGTAACGAGAGCCGATGCTCGTCGTGAATCCCTAATATAATCCTGAGCAACAGTCATGTCAATGGATATATAAGACTTACCATAAGAACGAGTCCGACGATAGTAAGAGTACTGCAGGTAATCAAGATAGGTGCCTTCGTCTTATACTTATCACCAAACCAAGACACAATCATCATCATAATACAGGCCATCACGTAGGGAGGGGCTACCAGAAGCTGCGAAGCTGCAACGGAAAACCCCATGCCTCGAAGGATGATAGGCAGGAAATAAGCAACGGCGTAGGATGTTGTGGTGACAAAGCAGAAGATAAGAGCAAATCCCCAAACTTTAGGATCAAGGCCACTGGCCGCCCATTTCTTAAAGTCGAACTTGTCGATGTCGGCATCGTCTCGGTCAGCGGCGATCTTGCGAATCACCCATTGACATTCACGCTCAGATAGAAAGTTCCACGACTTCTCGACGCTGCGGTCAGGGAAATCAACAATGGTAAAATATCCTACACAAGCGATAATCATCGTTCTAGACGTTGAGGATCATGTCAGTTGCAAGTTGAAACCATTCAATGTCGGGGGAAATCTACGCACATGATACCTTCAATAATGAAGATCCAGCGCCAGCCACGGTAGTTAGAAAGTCCATCCTAAATGTGGTCAACTTAGTGTGAGGTCTAAACATTTAGGACATGTATGAAATATTGACAAACCATTTGCATAAGCCCATACGCAAGAACACCAGAAAACCCACTAGCCAGAACGCCGATCAGATAGAAGAAAGAATAACGGCGATGAAGTTCATAGCGAGAAAACCAGGTTGAGATGAGGTACAGGCAACTTGGGAAAAAGCCTGCCTCAAAGGCACCAAGAAGGACACGGAGAGGCGTCATGGCCCACCACACATTCACAAAGCCGTGGCCGAGCTGCAAGTTAGGGATTAATATTAATGTTTTCGATGGGGATTCAATACCTAACGTACCATGACAACGCCCCATGAGAAGCATATTCCGGCCAGAAAGGGCCTGGGGCCGACCCTCCGCAACATTATGGTTGCTGGTGGCTGCAGTAAGGTGTATGTGATAAAGAAGAGAAGGACTAGGATAGACTGTTGAGCACGACGGTCAGCAAACAAAGTCCGTGAGCATCCATATTAATTTATTTCTTACATATCTGTCGCCAACCAAGACGAGATCTTCATTCATGCCAGCAATGGCTGCACTGGACAGATTGGTGCGGTCAATAAGACTGATGCAATACATCACGCCGCATGTTGTTACAAGACGTCGATCAATACGACGCTTGATGCGTTTTTCTTCGGCCGGCGTGAACTCATTGAATGTCTCTTGGTCCGAGTCCCTAACATCGCGGCCTTCCACATGCGCAATTTCTTGTTTGACTTCTGTGTCTTCCATACTGGCTAACTTTGGATAGAAAGGTCTGCGAGGTAAGAATTCTCTTGACTTGAATGTTTAAAGCTTGACCAGCACTTTTTAAAGTGTTAATGAGCTCAAAGGGGGAAGTGGTCGATCAGCAACAACTTATGCACCCCCGTGGACACACCTCGTTTTGAACCACCGTTGTGACTTTGTGGTGGGCTAGATTTCCCCACGGGGACCCCAAAGACCGGGAAACCTTGGCATTCAAGATGCATGCTACTAATGAATTCTAGACCAGTTGGCGTGGAATAGCCCCTGTTTCTGACAATGAGCGTGAGCCGGCGGCTCACTCACCAAGCGTAGAGATTGGCACGGTGAACGAGGGGAAGCTAGCACACACCCACGCGATGTAATTGATATCCTGCGCGTACAACTACACTATACTAGGTCTCTAATGAATACATCATTGACAGAGTTCGGGGTTTAGCAATGCTTGCGATGAGCCAAGGCTTTTCCCGGCACATCCAAATCTAGTTACCAGACGTTTTGTTCCAACAAATCGTCCGAGTTTTCTTACTACATTGCTAGAAATTAGACACAGCTACACCATCTTCCTTGTCCTGTCGATGTATCTCGTCTACTCAGTCGTATTGAGAAATTGTATTTATTAAACCATCAGCTTCTAATCTAAAATAAAGCGTCTATAGAGGTGCGTTTATAGTCTAGCTACTCGAGACTCCTTCTTCACAAGCTCGCGAAGCTCCCTTCTCAGAATTTTGCCAGTCGGGCTCTTGGGGATTGCTTCAAGATAGGCCACACCGCCACGCAATTGCTTATAAGACGCAAGTTCTCTCTTGACGAAAGCCTGGACTTCCTCTCCGGAAACCTTTGTAGGGTCTGCCACAATATAAGCTCTCGGTACTTCGTTTCCATCCTCTCCCGGCACCGGTATACCAATTACAGCCGCATCCATAATGAGAGGGTGGGTTAGCAAAAGGGCTTCCAATTCCGCAGGCGCAACTTGGAGTCCCTTATATTTGATGAGCTCCTGTACATAATGTTGTCAGTGAGTGCAAAGTATGTGCCTATCAGAATGTGGTGGCCTACTTTTTTGCGATCAACAATGTAGAACTTGTTGTTTCGGCGGAGGCCTATATCTCCAGTCTTAAACCATTCACCACACTTCGTGAAGGCTTCCCTCGTTGCTTTCGGATTTTCCCAATATCCTGGCGATACGGTCTGGCCTTGAACCACGAGCTCACCAGGATGTCCATCTTCCACGTCGTTCTCTTCATCGTCAAGGATACGTAACTTAGTATTAGGTTGAATCTCCGATATGCACCCCGTATCATCCTTTTCGTCCCAAGGCTGTATAGTAACACTCCCTGTCGTCTCGCTCATGCCCCAGACCTGCGATACAGTGCAGCCCAGCTTTTTCTCCACAGCCTTGGTAAGTTCAGGGCCCATCGGTGCTGCCCCAGATAAAGCATGATAGAGAGTCCGGAAGTGGTCCTTCACCTGGGGGCTTTGCGCTATGAGGAGATAGATGGGAGGGACACTGAAAAATGTAGTAATCTCGAGGCTCCGGTTGTAGTTAATGAACTGAGTGAAGTCGAACTTAGGCATCCAAAACACTGTTCCACCATGCACGGCCGGATGGATGAAATAACCCTGCATGCCGGCGATGTGTGCAGCTGGAACATGGGCAAGCGTCCGATATTGAAAGGAGAAAGTTGGATCCTGGGCTCGTTGGCGGCGGACAAAATCGCGATGGCTGTAACCGATAACAATGGCATAGGCTACCATATTTGCTTGTGTGATAATCACGCCTAATAACGATCAGCACTGCGCATCGTGCTACGGATAGACCACTTCATGTCTCTACCTTTTGGTGTTCCAGTAGTCCCACTGCTATAGACAAGACAAATGGTACGCTTGGCTAAAACGCACGGGTCTGTGATCTTCTCCCATGAAAGCTCTTTTGTTGGTCCAGACATCAACTCTTTGCCTGCATGTGAGAGAAGACTCCTCTTGCCATTGGTGCTATCGAGCGTGATAATTCTTTTCAATGGAAAACGGGCTTGTTGGGCGGCTTCTTTAGCGGTTTTCAGACAGTCAGGAGATGTTATCAACACGGTCGCTTTCCCATCTTCAATCTGGCGCTTCAGCTCCGAAGTCGTCAGGCTGCTGCTCGCAGCGCTGTAAATCCCCCCTGCTGCAATTGTACCGTAGAAGATGGTAGGGAGGAGGACTTGACCAGAGCAGATGCAAACAACGACGTCTTGTCCAGGCCCGGAAGCCCCAATCTGATATTGATGTCGAAGAATATGGGCAACACGTTTGGTGTATGAGGCAGTCTGCGCTTTGGTAATGAGATTATCTGGATGGCTAGCCTCCACATGAAGTACTGTGGAATCATCAGACGGTACATGGGCAGATTCTGCGTCAGAGAAAGTAAGTTCAAGCTGCTGCATAACCAGACCGGGTGTACTTTACGTACTAAACAGAACAGTCAAGAGATCGAGTTCTGGAAGGCCATAGTCAACCCTTGCATTGTAAACGACTTTCCCTGTCATCTTGAGTTTAACGGTCATATAAGATACCCTTTCAGGTAGCAATTCCGCTTTACAGACCGTGAAACGAGAAGGGGCCTGAATATATTAATGGACATGGCGGAATTAGGGCATAAACTACATATTGGTCCTCAATCTTTCGCCGGAACAACTCAGGGGCACAATGCAAGCCTCCTCAAGCCTAGACTAGAAAGCGAGCTCATGTGCAAAGTTAGAACAGAGCCGGTCATTCTGAACCGGAACGCAGCCAAGTTCTCCAACAAAGTTAGACAATGGGGAAGGTTGCTTGCACTAGCAAGGTTGACCCCCGGTTTCTGTTGGAGCCGAGCCTTGGCTTGCAAGGGAGTTGGAGCCGGCGGCTCTCGGCTCGTCTCATATCCCCGCTCCGGTTGCGTGTTGTACTTGAGCCACCGGCACCCCGCGATCGTGGATGCTCCCTTGTGACACTTCTCCAGGTTCTGGTGCAAATTGGAATCATCCGGCATTACGCGACTTGATTCTTCTACGGAGCCGTATCATAACATCGGCCCCAATACAGCCCCATACCGATCCGATGGAACCAAAGCGGATCCGTCATGCCTGCAGTCGATGCCGGCGACAGAAACTAAGGGTCCGTCTCCATTCGTACCTGATCCGAGCAGTGCATTCTTCGCGTTTAAAGGCCATACACTGACCTGCAGCAACTCTAGTGTGATTACGAGCGGCCGTGCCCTCTATGTGTGAGGGCTGGTGCGGACTGTACCGAAGCCACGCAACGGACATGGTAATATAGACGTGTTCAGTCCATGATCCAGAACCTGCTTGACTGACCTTATACGGTGGGCTTTAGGCGGACCAATCGACCAAAAAGCGCTGCATATCAGGCTCGTCAGCGACAGTTAGAAGAGCAGCGCAGTTCTAGCAACCAAGCCCAAGCGAGACATGGCGCCCCGACTACTCAAGATGCCAGTGCGAATGATTCAGGCCTTCCAAGTCCCAGTTGCTCTTCAACTACCCACATTGCACCAGAAGATGTGATACCTTCTGGTCAACGGGCATCTGCTCTTCACCTCGTTGGTACAGTGCGTAGAATTATCAAGCCCTTGACAAATACTATACTCTAATGTCTAACACTGGAAGACAGATATTTCGAAGGTTTCATGCCACCGGTTCTAATCAAAATCACAAAGTCGATGCCATACCCGCCTCAGAATCACCTGAAAATGGCTCGGACCCAACCCAGTCCGAGATGGTCTCTGTGGTTGATCTTATAGGCATTCCGTTTCCCTCGCCAGATGTTGTCACTACTCTACTAGATTCGTATAAAGACTCAGTCCATTGGTACATCCGCGTTCTTCATGAGCCGTCTCTACGAGAACGGCTGGTGCCAATTTTGGAGAGTGGTCTCGCACCACGGTCGCAGCGTCCTTTATTGCTTCTGGCTTTGATGATGATGATTCTTGGTGCGCATTTTGTCTCCGACGAGGCGTGTCAGAGGATCAATAGGCAAACGCCTTTAGCTGATCTCACATCTAATATGTTGATTGCATGTGAGAGATGGTTTCTGCCATTAATGGATTGCGTTACAGTTGACACTGTCATATACGCATACCTTTTGGCCGCTCACTATTTATGCAACCGCCAGACAAGAGCAGCCTTCCTTACTTTGGGGACGACTGTACGTGCCGCGCAATCTATAGGCCTCAACAGGGAGGCACAATGGGGCGAGGTCAGCGACATCGAACGAGAAACGCGCAGATGTGCGTGGTGGTCGGTCTTCATAGGAGCAGGGTAAGCGGCAGTGAAATCTGCCCTCAATTGGACAATTCATTAGCTTACATATACAGGTTCATCTCAATGTCATGGGGCACTCCGCCGATGCTCAGTGAGGCAGACTGCCAGGTTCGCCATCCGACCGACGTTGACGATGCATGCAACTTGGAGCAGTGCCCGGGGTTCGGATCACTGGAGAAGCGAGAAGGCGGGGATATTCGGCCTGTGACTGTCGGTTCGTACAACCGATACAAGGCAGAGATGTACAAAATTGCCATTACGATCATGCGCCGCGTCTATTTCACCAAATACCGCAACCCTGAGGAGCTCACTCGGCTAATCTCAAAACTGCATCAGCGGTTGCTAGCGCTAGAGAAATCTATTCCGCCTGAGTTGCGAGTTGAGAACCATACTCATAATGCTCTGCAGGGGGACTCGAACCAATTGATGCTGCGGAAGATCTTTGCTGTCCAAGCGCTTACTCTCCAAGTGTCATACGACAACATGCAAATCTTCTTATTCCGACCGTTGATCTCTATCGGTGGCATCCCAAGATCACTTGTGGGTACTCGTGAGAACTCACCAGGCCTTGCTAACCAGACTAATCTGGGGAATGCACCCAGCCTGCTTCTGAGCATTGCGCAGAATCAGTGTTGGACATCAGCGATGCGGACCTCCATGGTGGGCCAAAGTTCGGATATAATGAAGTTATCTCAGTTTACCTTCCCCGCCGTACATGTCGGAGTACACACATTTTCCGCGGGCGTGATGTTGGGGCTGTTGGCTCTGACCAGCCCGCTGTCTGCTCGTGGGCAGGAAAGCAAACGCGCCATCGCCAAAATCATCCAGGTTCCAAAAGTGGCCAGGCTGAAGACACACGTATGGGGTCAAATGACGCAGATTCTCACAGACTTGATGCACGTTATCGCGGCCGAGGAAACAAAGGCTCTGATAGCCGGTATTGCAGGAGACGGCTCCAGGGAGACTCTCGCAGAGCCAGAGGTGTTCGGCCAACCTTCGAACCCGTACGAGGACTTGGAGGCAAACCCAAGGACAGAAGACTCGGCGGATGGGGTATCAACCACTGCCACTGACGGAACTGATTTTGACGAGCATGGTTCATTGAGAATGAACATGCCAACAACCGTCGAAGGCAGCACATGCGAAATGGCGCAGGCATTGCATTCTTCAGGCCCTTTCATTACGGGCGTTGAAGATCAGCAGGCCCAGTATAGCTCACAGTTTGATGTCTTTGATGTACCAAACCTGTGGCTCCCTCAACAACCGGCTGATCCTCTACAGATGATGGATCAATTGTGGATGTGGGACGGGTCTTTTTCGTGCCATTAAGCTTGGTGGGATTATTCGTTTAATATCGATGGCATTGTCGCACATTATTCGATGCATCAGTGGAGTATTGTCGATTTCTACTCTAACTAGCAACTATTGTGACTCGCATACTAAATAGCAGATTATGCGTCCAGCACAGGGTCCTCCAAGTTGGTACTTGGATTTAACGAACAAATGGAGAACATGTCTAGCAGTATTCAAAGCGATGCCAATGAGACAATAGATTAACCCGACTTTGCAAAACAATGATCCCATGATCTCGAGAACAATACACCAAGAGCAGCTTCGTGATGTTGAAACCGAGGAGTATAGGGTAGATGACGCACCGGACGAGGGGTAAACTGGAATAGACCCATATATAAGGCACTAACGCATGTTGTGGAGAGGAAGAAACATGTATTACGCCCAGTATTTTCGGTATAGAGATACATCGTGTAAATTCCATAGCCCAAATCATGTCCAGGCGTCAATGCTTAATTTCGGTTGCTAGAAATGATGTTGCATCTCCCCGCTTCCCGTGGCGATGTCGTCAGTCCCGGGTACCTTGGCTAAGCTGGAGTCCCCTGCGTAAGCCAAGTACCCACGGCCATGGTTGCAACGGCTAGAGGCGGCCCCGTCTTCGGAGGCTGAAAAAATGCGATGAGTCGTGCCATGAGGCATCGAGCGGAAATCGGCCCCCTCCATTACTGACTGGGCCGCATTGGGTCGTGTCGTGAGTCAAAGTTTTCCACCTACAAGTGCAGCAGTCGACATTGATTTCCTCTGTCCTGCTCCAGCCCGGCAATCCCCAGCTTTTCATCCATCCCGCATTGACCTCGCCTTGGGATTTTCGCCTTTGCCGCCCGCACCTTCCTGCCGCTGTGCTCGTCGTCGCCACACAACCCCGCAGTGACTTTAATTCTTCTCCCTTCCATCAATCGCGACCACCATCGCTGCCACTCGCGACGTCCACCACGTCGCCTCGTCGCCTCGTTCAAGATGCCCATGTACGTGATCCCGGCTTCCCTGACCGCAGGATCAAGACCGCGCTAACCTCATACCCACCAAACCCAGGCTCAAGGAACCGTGGACGAAGTACAAGGCCTTCCCCCCCATCAACCTCCCTGATCGCCAATGGCCCTCCAAGATCCTCGACAAAGCCCCGAGATGGCTTGAAACCAGTCTCCGCGATGGAAACCAGAGCAATCCAGACCCCATGGTGCGTATTCCTGCACGTCGGCTGTGTAGTCGAACGGCCCTACGTCGACGGTATTTGAGTGGACTGACTCGGCTAATGATATCGGCACGAATTACAGAGTGGAGAGGAGAAATGGCGTTTCTTCAAGATGCTCTGCAACATTGGCTACAAGGAAATCGAAGTCTCCTTCCCCTCCGCCTCTGATACCGACTTCGACTTCACAAGACGCCTGGTGGAGACGCCAGGTGCCATCCCCGACGACGTCGCAATTCAGGTCCTGTCGCCCTGCCGCCCTGATCTGATCAAGCGCACTGTCGAGGCCGTCACCGGTGCCAAGAACGCCATCATTCACATCTACCTTGCCACAAGCCCCTGCTTCCGCCAGGTCATCTTCAACTTCACCGAGGAGCAGACCCTCGAACTTGCCGTACATTGCACCAAGGTCGTGCGCTCTCTGACCAAAGATGACCCCGCGCGGTCGGCCACCAACTGGCAGTTTGAGTTCAGCCCAGAGACCTTCTCTGACACGTCTCCAGAGTTCGCCGTCAAAGTCTGCGATGCCGTCAAGGAGGCATGGGGCCCAACCGTTGAGAACCCCATCATTTTCAACCTCCCCGCCACCGTCGAGATGGCAACCCCCAACGTATTTGCCGACCAGATTGAGTACTTCTGCAAGAACATCACAGAGCGTGAGAAGATCGCCGTCAGTGTCCACTGCCACAACGACAGGGGCTGCAGTGTTGCTGCAACCGAGTTGGCCCAGCTGGCTGGCGCTGACCGGGTAGAAGGATGTGTCTTTGGAAACGGCGAGCGCACTGGAAACGTCGATTTGGTTACCTTGGCCCTGAATTTATACACCCAAGGTGTCCCCCCCAACGTCGATTTTTCGGACCTCAACAGCGTAATCGAGGTCGCTGAGGACTGCAATCGAATTCCCATCCACTGCCGCGCTCCATACGCCGGCTCTTTAGTATTCTCGGCGTTTTCGGGCTCACATCAGGACGCCATCAAAAAATCGCGTAATTTGCATGGCCCGAGGATGTTTAAGGAGTTCTGGGAAGTGCCATACCTCCCGTTGGATCCTCAGGACGTGGGCCGAACATACGAGGCTGTGATCCGCGTAAATTCCCAAAGCGGAAAAGGTGGGGCCGCTTGGGTTATTCTTAGTAAGCTCCACTTGGACCTGCCTCGTGGCTTACAGGTTGCTTTCTCAAGAATTGTTCAACAACACACGGATGGCCTTGGCCGTGAGCTGAAGCCTGGGGAAATCACTGATCTGTTCGAGAAGTCATACTTCCTCCGCGAGAATCCCCGATTCTCTCTTATTGACTACTCCATCACTCCCGACCGCTCGCAGTCTCCCAGGCCGCCTTCCCCGGGCAAGACACAGGACACCAAGAACCTGTTGCGTGTCTTTGAGGGTGTCATCCTGGTAGACAACAAGGAGATCAGGCTCCGTGGGCGCGGCAACGGTCCCATTTCCAGTATGGCTAATGCCCTGAAGGAGATTGGCGTTGACCTGGATGTTCATGATTACAAGGAGCACGCCATTGGTGAGGGTCGTGGTGTAAAGGCTGCCTCGTATATCGAGTGCAAGATTGGAAACACCAAGCAGACGGTATGGGGAGTTGGTATCCATGAGGATGTTGTCCAAAGTTCCCTGATCGCTCTTCTGAGCGCTGCTAGCAGTGTAAGTTGCAACTTCTCAATAGGAGCAATCTGTTGCTCCTAGCCTGCTTCCAGAGATCTGACTAACAAATCGGTGTAGTTCATCACGAGCAACCCCCCAAGCCCCGTGTTGAGGCCAATTGCCACTCGTCCCAAGAACTTGGACCCCAACAGTGCCGCAAATGGCGCAGCCAAGCAGCCAGCTGCCGGACCTCAAGAGACGCAAAATGTGGTTTCTGTCTTGGAGGAAAAGGCGAATGGCATGTAGATTAGTGTGTTTGATGAGGATGGATTATTGATGGATTGTCACTCATTTGGTTTCTTTTTAGCACGTCATCTATGGACGTTTGAAGTACGATTTGATGAATTAGCATGGAAGGAGGAAAAAAAATAAAAAGGCGAAAGTTTCGAAAGGGAAAACTACCTAGGGCATCTGATTGGACCTAAAAGTTCTTGAAATAGCAATTGCATTGTTTATTGACTGGTTATGAGTTGAGTCTTGGTTGAGACGTGTGCGCTGACGTTTCAGTGCTCAAAAAGTTATTCTGGCTCAATTTCACTTAAATCCACGGAAACTATATATAAATTATTCGGCATTTTCCTTTCCAAATAAGTATTTTCGTGAAATAATCGCTGATCCAAGATGGAAGTCTCCAGCGTGGCCTAACAATGACTAATACTCCTACTGGAACAATTACAAACAGCTATTCGCACCCCATTCCATTGCCGGTGCCGTAGGAGAAAAGACTCTCCTCGGTCTCTAAGCTGCCCAGGCCACGGGGTTGCGGCCCTCGCTCTCGTCACGCTCGAGAAGGGCGTCCTCATCTCAGGCCACGGCACCCGCCATCTTGTGCTTTCCAAAAGTCGAGGGAAATTTGCAGTTGCCGCTGGCGCAGGAGATTCGCTTAGTGAGAGAGACATCGTAGTGGTCATCACGCTCGTACAGGGAGTCCTCGTAGCGCATCTTGATGGCACCCGCCATCTTGTGCCCTCCAAAGGTAGATGGGATCTTGCAGTTGCCACTGGCGCAGGAGCTGCGCTTGGCAAGAGAGCTACCGGCCTCATCTCGCACCCTCCACCTTGGAGCCGCGCCAGGGCCTCCGAAGGTGGCCTTGACGTAACGACCCTCCATGTTGACCATGTCACCCTCGGAAGGGGAGGCAGTGGCCAGGCCAGCGAGACCGAGGAGGGCGATAGAAAAGTATCCGATAGCGACCATTTTGGCGGTTATTGGGAGAAATTACAAATATTTGAAAAGTACGATGGAGAAGAAGTGATTTGAGAATAAAGGCCAAGGTAATCCAGTTGCTCTTGGTGTAAGAAGTGAAGCAAGACCAGCTCGAGAGGGTAGAGTGAACAGTTGAGGTGATTGTTGGAGAACTAACCTTCCAACTTGCTCAAGAATAGGCTTTTTATAGAGGCACGCAGCCAGTTTTACGTTCTGAATCTGAGAGATCAGCCTGGCTAAGAAGGATTCTACCTGTGTTCCATCTAGGCACTCTGACAGCTGCAGGTTATTTTCCGCATCATGCATGTCATTCTTCACCCGGACTTCGTCAATGCCCGTCTAGCATCGCAACCAGCTGCGGCGTGTTTGCTTGAGAATAATCGGATCCCGTGAGAATTTGAAGCAGATCGCACGGGCATTGTGCCGTCTAATTCCCCACGATTGGTCGACAACCGAGCCACTGCCTACATAGCCTCGATCTTTGCAAACGCGTCCCTAATGGCGCCAAAGTCGCTGTTCTTGACGTGAGTGAGAACGTTTGTCGCGTGGCATTTCATCACGAGCGCTTCAAACGCCTGGGTATATTTGGCTGGGTCCAAGCCCATCATCCGAAATAGCTGGGTAACGATCTTCCTTGTGATGGCGTCGATGGCCGCCGTGCTCATCGTGGAGACTTTCTCTATCGAAAGCTCCTTGATCGAATATTCCTGGTTCTTGTAGGATTCGGCGACTTCCTGCAGGGTGATGTTGTCCTTCCCATCCCACAGGGGAAGATGATACTCCACCGCCCTTTCGATTTGTGCCTTATTGTCAAGGCATCCGTGTTGTCAGGGAAGGAGCGCCCGCTTATCGTGTCGCGTTAGATGAGTCTATAACGTGTTAACTTGGAAATTTGAGTCTGGGAAGGTGCATCCGCTCGACCGGGTAAGGATATCGTGAGGGGTTAGATCAATCGATCTGGCGAGATCAATCTGACGAGTTTCATTGCGTGAGGTACGTCCGGTTGAGTTTGATGGGTTCGCTTCTTTAGAGTGGATAGTACGGGATGAAGGTGTTTGGCTGCTTCCTTTCTCCAGCGTTACAGGATCGTTGCAAAGGGTCCTCGTCGCTCGATCTATTCGGGTGGGTGAGTCTCGTCGAACTGAGTTTTAGGTAGAATCAGTCCGATCGATTCGAGGGAATTGAATGTATCCTGATCGGTTTAGCTATCCATGCATAACTCTCCTCTAGCAGATTGAAACACCAGAATATTTTTAGTTTTAAATCATGTGTCTCCACGATGAATTCGAATTATCGTTGGTTACTGCAACCGAGAGAAAAGATGCTGGCGATTTTCTATTGCTCCTTGGTGCTTTCTCGCTAGTGAATGGAGCTGCTATCCATTGGGACCTACTCATCGTATACCCATTGGCGACTTATAAAGCCCAATCCAGTCACGGTTTCAGCCAAGAAAGGGATCGTTCGGTCTTCGGATCCTGCTCTGGCTCCCGTACGGAGAACCATCTCACACCCCACCGTTCGTTTCCTCACCAATGCGCTGGCTCGTAACATCGAAACTGAAACGCACATAATAAATATTTGCTTCTCGTTCTGAACTATCACTTGTGACGCGTCTTAGTAATACTGATATGTGTATCTGCACAGGGGCAGTTGGGTCCTTCGCCGCTCTATTTCGGCGTCTTTCAACTTTCTCATGAGGAGAATTAGGTATTTCTTTAAAATATATACCTGTAGACTCGCTTCTCTGTCACATAACTCCGAGAACTCAAGCTTTAGTCTTAAATACAGAATAAAGATATATCCTCGAGTCTACTGGCTGGCTAGTCTAATCACCCTCTGAACTTTCAAGTCGAACTGTCACATTCGTCATTCAATCTCCATTCGTTGAAACTCCTTGACTCCTAGAGCTTCATCATACATAACTCCACGGACATAGGCAGGCCCAATAAACCTGCGCCTTCCATTGGATGTAGCCCTCAATAAGAATGGACTGCTGCCTTCAATGATAACGGCTAGATCATCAGGGATTACCACCACGGACCCAATACCCAGTAGCCCCTTTGAAGTAATGAAAAATCTTCGACAAGTAAACATGGCTCTCAAAGAGTTGAGATAAATATCCATGTCGCCAAAACTGGTGTCTAGGATTGTTTTTTGCGTGTTATCAGATGAGAGCAAGGAAAAAAGGTTAGAGACCTTGTCCCAGGTGGGGAGGTCATGAGATTTGCTCTTCGCCAGTAGTGATTCGAGAAGAGATTTCACCGATGACAACTCACTGCCTCCTATTTCTGCTTTCAAAATATGGGCCGTGATTAGGTGTAAAGATGCACTCCGAAATGAAGGTCCGTAGACTTTAGACAGGGGATGACGATTGCCGTTTCCTGGCAAGTCAGCTATCAGAGTGCGCCAGAACGCCTCGACAACGTCCTCATAAGGACTGCCGTTGCCTGACTTTTCTTCTAAGAGTTTGAGTGAATCAAGAAGGCCACTACCCTTTGCCATCTCGTCAGAGTCTGCGCCTAAGGCGTCGACTGTATCCACAGCAAAGCCGGACACTGTAAGAATCTTGCCATCCTGAGAATCTAGTCTCCTGAGGGGACGTTCGCCTTGAATGCCGGCGCTATAGATGGTAGCACCCCCCTTTGTTATCCAACTGAGAAGGTAACGGCCAACGCAATAATCGGGCACCCAAGAAGGTAGACTCGTCGTGACACGGGTAGACTCGTCTTCGACAGAATGCAACAAAGCATGTAGCGGTATCTTGGAAGAGAACTCTAAAAACACATCTTGGACCGATTTCTTGTAGTCACTGTCGCTGAATGACTAGTCCAAGGTGCTGAGACCGAGAATCGCAAATATCTTATCCCTGGGGTCTGAGCATTTTCGATTTCGGCTCATGCTAACTGCAAGATTCACAGAGTCTAATTTCCCGCGAAGAAACACTGCTGAGGCAGTGCCACGAAGATCACTGATTCTGTCTTTGAATGCTGGTGAGTAGATCTTGTGCGAATATACCTTGCAGTGAGTTTTCGGATGCTTCAGAGCTGCTACGCCTTGCTCTGCAAGGTAATTATCCAGAACCCAGAGCAAACGATCGAGGAATCCCTTCATGGGTGTGCGAAACTTGCCGCACCACAGCACTCCGTTGCTAGGCAGGAGGCTCTCTTGAATGGTCTATACTCGGTGGAACCATGATTGGCCTAGAAAGAGGCCTAGACTTTCCCATTGTTCGTCTGTGAATGGCGGCATTTCCAAGTAGTGGAAAACCGAAGGGGAAGGTGCATATTTCGTTTCTGACCCAGCACGTGCTAGTTTCTTTCTTGCATCAATGTCGTCTTCGGCAAAATGACTCAGAGTCGTCATCTCAACGAAGGGCGTCCGTGTGTCGGGAACATCAACCCCGAGCCAGACTATCACCGATGTGCAGTTTGAATAAATCTTGCTCATCATCTGAACTTTGGATGTTTCGCTCATTGAGATCTGCCTGGTTGATGCAAATTGAATCCACCCAGATGTATTGAACATCACTTGGCGGGTTACGGCAGAATTCTTGTAAAAAGTCGCTAAGATTTTTAGTAACCCAGAGGCTTCCTGACGGCCCAACATCCATATTACTTGATGGACCCGAAACAGTGATTCTAGTGGGCTGTTTCCAGATATCCAGCTCGGAGTTAGGTACATCCTTGTCGACGGAGTGAGGGTTACCCCAAGTGTATGATAAGGTGTGGTATGGTGGTGGTGATTTCTTGCTGTTGACATCGACTTCAACCAACTGACAGCTCACTATGCCATTTTTTATAGCCAGTTCCGCCGAGATAAGGCGAATACTATCGGGGTTAAGAAGGGGACGATATTGGTAGTGTGTGTACTCCATATTCTCCTTCGATGGTGGTTGAGTGGGTGTATCGGAGCAAGAGGATATGAAATGTCAAGCCATCAAAGGCCCACAGTCAATTGGCTAAGCGGAAAAGAGGAATTCCAAGGTAAGAAAACACGACTGTAGAAGTAAGTAGAGGCTGATTTATAGTAGCTCTTCCCACGCAAACATTTACTACCAGGCAATGGGCCAAGAGTTTGTCTGCCAACTCCGCCACGAATGTATCATCTGATTAACCTCACCCCGCATTGACAGTTTTAAGTAACGTTTGCAAAGTTCACAGGGCAACCAATCAAAAGATCACTGAGGTGCCTACCAGCACCATAGCCCGCCTGCATGGATGCCTCGCTGGTTCGCAAAGACGAGCCACAGCTGGAGCCGATGAAACCCTTACACGTCGCCTGATTAGTTACAATATGTAAGCCATTCCCGCATTCTCTGTTAATGTATTCTGCTTTTATATAAACTAATTTTAAAAATAGCTCTATATTCAATATCATCAATGGATGTGTCGTACGTTAATTGCCAACAAGTCTGTGTATCAAATCAATCTTTTAAGCACCCAGATTCTGCGACTCGCATAGTCCTCTGTAGATGCCCCCCAGAGCAATGAGCTGCTCGTGCGTCCCCCTCTCTACAATCCGACCATCCTGGAACACACAGATCACATCCGCATGCCTGATGGTCGACAGACGGTGCGCAACGGCCACGGTGATGCGATCGCCCGATGCCGCTGCCTCGTTGATGGCGTCCTGCACGACACGCTCCGACTGTGTGTCCAGCGCGCTCGTGGCCTCATCAAGAAGCAGCACGCGCGGCTTGCGGATGAGTGCCCGCGCAATCGCGATACGCTGGCGCTGGCCTCCCGAAAGCTGCAGGCCGTTAGAGCCGCATGGAGTCTCAAGACCGTCGGGCAGCGAGCAGATGAAATCCCAGGCGTTGGCGGCTCGGCAGGCCGCGATGATCTGCTCGTCTGACACGGGGGAGTCGTCTTCGTCTGAAGGCAGGCCCATGGCGATGTTCCTTCGGATCGTTTCCGGGTAAAGAATTGGCTCTTGTTGTACCAGAGCGACTTCGTTGCGGTAGAGCCAGGGGTTCATCTCGTCGATGTTCCTGTCATCAATCTTGATGTGACCCTTGACTGGATCGTAGAATCGCTCTAACATCGAAATCATCGTGCTCTTGCCACAACCAGAGGCACCAACAAAGGCGACAAACTGGCCTTTTTGAATAGCGAGGTTGATACCGCGCAGTACGCGTGCCTCAGGGCGGAGTGGATAGGAAAAGTGAACATCCTTGAGCTCGAGCGGAGAGCACTCCTTGGGACCAATAGCTCGGTTATCTTCCGTCTCTCGGATTGATGGCTGGAGCTCAGAGAGCCAGAACATGTAGTTGGCGGCATTAACAGCCTTGGTTATGCCTGTAGAGATTAAGTGTTAGTAAACCCTTTGTCTCTTCTTTATCTAGAGACACATCTACTTACTGCTTGCAAACCCATACATAACCGAAGCTTGCTGTCCTGCGAAGAAAACTCCGAGATACGCTGAGAAGAAGCTGACGATATCCATCTCGCCAAAGGACACAAGGCGACATCCATACCTTCTGTGTGTTAGCAAGCGACTCATATACGGTATCGAGATTAACACTTACCAAAATCCCAAAGCCATGAAGGAATACTCCACACTCTGAGTAAAAGCAAATGGAATCATGGTCAGTAGCACAGGCTTGGTGGCATATCCATTACCGGCATCTAACTCAGCCGTGTATCTGTCCAGCACGGTTGGCTCCAGAGACAAGGAGGAGACAGTTCGGATCGCACCAATGGCCTCGGAGGCAATGGAAGCACTGGTAGAGAATCGATGAGAGATCTTGACATCCATTGCTGACTCGAGCTTCATGCGTAGGTGGCCAGCCAAGATCATGGGCGGCAGGCCGGCAAAGACGATAACAACGCCGAGTTTCCAGCCTTGAACCAGAGCGAAAATAGAGCAGGCCACGACGCCAAGGGCGGAGATGGAGATGAGGGCAATGTTGAACCCCATCAGCTCAAAGATGGAGTAGGGATAAGAGGTCACACGTTCAGCAAGGGCGCCGGTGGTGTTCTCTGG